AAAAAAAAAAAAGGCGCAACCCACAATTTGTGGTGAGTGTCTGGACACTGAGAAGATGCGGCAAGGCTGCAGCTCAGACAAGGATTGCTCTCCGCCATTCAATTCCCACAACCATTGAATGGATCAGGTACTCTCCTATCCGAGAATATATGACAAGGTACTAAGAGCTACATGGGGTCAGTTGGATAGCCTCCCAACCAACATGAGATAGGCGTCGGCTAGATGGTTCTATCTTCCTAATACACGGTGGATTACGAGGTTACTGCCCAAGACCGCACCTCAGGCACTCAATAAGACTCCCTAATTGGGTAAAGAGATGGAGCCATCATGGATCCAACAGAAAAAAAAAATGACTCCCCCTTTCCTCCTTTGCGCCGATACAGTTACTGTAGTTCACTGGAAAAATTACATGGATGCAAGTAATGCAGGTTTCTGCAACCAGGCAAATAGGCAGAGTCATTTTGAACAGGCCGGTCCATTGTGATAGAATGAATGGCTGTGAATACTAATCACCGGAATCTCCCTGCGCTTGGATATCTAGCTCGTATCTCTCTTCCCCAGATAATCGCACCCCACGCCACGGTGATCCGGACGCCTTCTATCGATGTTTAATTATACTTCCTCAACATGTTCCATGCATTTGTGACTTCCCCTTTTCGATCATTATCAGTCGGCTGACCAGGCCTTGGATACACTCCCACCGCGATGAACGAGGGTTGCCTGACTGAGGCTTTTTAGATAGCGGCGCGAAAAGCCGTTGCTAAGAGGTATTATCAACCATTAATCGACGATGGTGCATATCAGCTGCAGGACCCGAGTATCTGTCCCATTTAGTTTGAACGTTGCATGCAACTAATAGTTCTGGACTGACAGCCCATTGGTAGATCGGGCGCATGGCTTATAGCAAGTCATATGGGAAACTGGGTTCACGGATTGGATATCATTCGTTCCTTTCTCTTTAAATGACTCTCTCGTTTTCTCTCGATATATGCCTTGTCATACTGACCGACAGAGTTCCGGGATCAGATGAACAGACATTCAGGAAGGGCATTGGTAGGGTCTTTCCGATAGGAATGTACAGGTCCATACTCTGTACAATTGATGCATATCAAAAATCCACGGTGCCTGCAACTTATCAGAAGGATTCCTTATCAATGCCCCTCAAAAAGAACACCCCGCCATAGTCGCGTGGGTGGATCATAGCGCGTCTGCCGATTGATTGCTTTGGAAATTAATAGATTTTGTTTTTTTTTTTTTTTTTCCTTCTATCTATTTGAGAAGAAACAAAAGATACCTCCTTTGAATTAGATCCTTATCTACTGGACGACAATTATCAAGTCCCTGTCTATCAAAAGGAATAAAGAAACCGAGAAATTCTCGACGATCACCCAAAACGGCAATATTACACCCAGCCGGTAATTCTCAGTACCGACAGTGAAAATGGGCAAATTTACAGAAAATAAACCTCCACAGATGTGGGGCGTGGCAAGAAATTCTCGAAAAAGGCGAGCAACAGAGAGAAAAGTTAAGCCGCCCCCAAGTCCCCGAGACCGGCCCAGATGGTTAGTCAGGGTTATTCTTAGAGGGAATTTAGGCGAGGGATTGGTCCGCTGGGGGAAACTGCGGTCTGCACCGCCTCGAAGGGCGTGGAAGAGGGTCAAGGCAGAGGGGCTCTGGTTGTCAGGATTAAGTCACTTCAACCTCACAACAACTGGTTGGGATGTACAAGGATTCTCCAGAACGTCCCCCCGGAGTGGCGATCTTCTTGGAATTGTATCATTCTTTTTGTGAGAACTGTACTACAGCAAATGATAGGCGTCCGTGGTCGGGAGATTCAGGAATCAACTGCATCATGAGTGGCTGAGAGAGTTTTAGAATCAAGAGGGGGGAGCGAAAAAGAACAGTCTTGGGGGAGCGTTCCGTTCAGCCCTGTAGTACTTGACATCCACTGCAGAGGAGAGAGAGCGATGTATTCTTAGTACTAGTCTCCCCCTGGTAGGATGAGATTTTGAGACCCGGAAGGGTTATTATTAGTTCGTGGTGAAACGAGAGACCAGAAAAGAATAGATTTCGGTCTATCAAATGTAATGTTGTAAGTATTGTATTGAGGTCTAGCTATTCTATTCAGAATGATATCCACTCTCATCAACCCCGATCTGATCAGATGCGCAGCAGGCAGCTTCAGCCCGCCGTAGGCCGTCAGCCAGTCATAAGAATAGAACATGTGGCGCAGTCTCTAACCCAGGAGGGGTTTAGCGCCCTCCCGCAAGAAGTTCCCAGTTTACGGGCTATTGAACGTGCAAGTCGCAAATGAATGCGTCATGACTGACATCTGAAAGTCTCGCTCCTGTGATACCGAAAGGCTGATCATGAAAATTTCCTTTCGACCTCGGATAATACAGCCCGAAGTGAGTGACCGCCATGAATATCCCTCACCGACACCACGATCTAAGCAACTTAATCATGACGAAGGGGATGCCTGTCATCCAATGACCGGAAAATCAATAATGATATTGAGGGGATTAGAGTAATAGTTGTGATTGACCAGCCTGATAATGAGTAATGGCTTCAGTCGCCAACCATGTTTTTCCCTGTGATGCTCCGCATTCTGACTGGGTCCCTTATCGTTGTGCCCTGATTGGCCCTGGACCGCCGTCCATGACAAACGCCGCTGACTGGATTCGGCCCGAATCGTCATCGCTCGCCTGGAATGCCTCAGGTTGACGACAGTTGAACATACATGGAACAATGGCTTGGAGAAAGTCCTCCTATAGTATGAATTCATCTTCAGGACCAGCCGATCAGCCAAGAAATCTGCGAGTCACATTGTATCGCTTGGCGAGGGGAATCCAAAGTCGATTTTATGACCATATGTCATCACTTAATCAACTAATAGTAGTAGTAGTAAAGGAACGGGACAAAAGGGAGCAAAAGAGAAAGAACGCAGAAAGGGATAGGAAAAATGAAAATCATTCCACGACAAATTTTATTTTCATTGATCTTTGTTCTGTAAGTCTTGTAATGAAGAATTCCAATGAAATTTTTAATGCCTCATGCCCCATCAACGCATGCAGAAGAATCCCAATGCATATTTTTTTGAAACCCTCGATGGATCATTTTGTTTTAATGAGGTATCTAGTCTGGCAGGGTAATTCGCGCAGTTGATCATGGAAATTTATTCTTCCAGCCTTTGATTTTATTCTACTTAATTTAATTTTAATTTTATTTTAATTTTATTTTATTTTTATTTTTTTCCATTTTTTTGGGGGTTTCTTCTTTTTGTTGCTTCCTTTTCTTTGGGATGGACATCGACGGGAAGATTTTGGGATACCACGAAGCAGAGACACTTGACAGGTCATTCTCATACTTGGTTATTCCCTCATGGTTTAGATAATGGAAAACCACCAAACAGTCTTCTTGCAGTGGTTGTTCATGCACTGGGATGTACAATTAAATCCCTCAGCCCTGGTATAAGGCAGCCAGGCATTACACTAGCCGCCTCCACCGCCATTTCCATATGGGTCGGAACTTTATTTCTTGGGAGCAACAACAACAACATTCATTCTGCGTCTCGCAGGTCTGGGCATATGTATGTATGGAAACGTGTAAAGCTACAGATCTCCATCCCACCGGATCTTCTTTCCCTTTTCTTCCCATCTTTCACGGATTGCTGCCCGTTGGGTTGTCATGTTCCACGTTCGATTATTTCTTCGCCAACTGCGCGTGGACAGGTAATACTAGCAACGGATGATTCTATCTCGTGAGAGAAACTGCTCTGGCATGGTAGTCGTGTCGTAGTTCACATAGAGAGCTCCCATGGCAGAGCTTCGTTGGCGGATAGATCGGGGATGGAGTCCATGCAGGTACAGCATCGATTGCTGGGCTAGCTCCGGACAGGGAGATGGGTCTTGTCTGCAGAGCCTCAGGTGAAGATCTGGTCAAGCCTCAACTGATCCGCTGGAGGCAGGGCACCACTTCAGCGGCTACCAGCCGACAGAGTGGTCGAGACAACCCTCTCCACTCAGCGGCAGCGGCAGCTGCGGCTACCCAACCAATCTGGGATGTGTGACAGGTATTGTCAACGGCTCTTTCGCTGCTGCATCCATCGTAGGATCCACTCCACCAGTGTCCCGATGTCTTGAGATACTTCCAGCACCCGGGCTATCTTGTTTTGTAGTTCAATCACTTCGTTCTTCTGGCCATCGGTCATTTGCACGTCCATGTCTCCAAGACTGCTAGAGTGGTCCAGCAATCCTGTCATGTCTACAACCGAAACGCGGCCGTTCAGTCCAACTTCCAAACTAACGGAAACCTTGCTTATAGTAGTTTTGTCCTTGGCCGATTCGGCAGAGCCGGGTGGATCGTTTACCGTGAAAAGCAACATGACGACGGGCGCTTGACCAAGCTGTGTCCGCAATGTAACGTCTACTTTAACCTCATCGGCATCGTCGTCGATACCTTCAGCGTTCAACTTAGATGTGTCCTTCCCTTTGTCCGTTATGATCCTGTCCATGTTATAGAATCCCTTCAGCAACCGGTCGAGTTTTTTCTCGTTGGGATCATTGTTGCTTAAGGTAATCACATTTTTCTTTGGCTTCCCTGGTTCCGTGAATTTCAGCTGACTAGCCGGGCTCTTTGGGGAGTCTCTTTGGGTATCCTTTCTGTTATCGTCATTCTTAGACGGGGAACTGAAAATGTTACGAATCAGGTTGGCTAAAAATGCATATTGGCGCAGTGTCTGTACGGAGAAAACAAAGAGAATCAGTAACTGCTCTCATCAGTAATTTTGCTATTGCACTCACTGGAAGAATATCTGCAAGCTGCCGTGGGTGTGCGAATGGGATGTCACGCATCGTTCGCCCAGCAACAGATTCAAAGGGTTGGAAAGTGTAGCTATGCTGTTTAGTGCATGGCTTGCCATCCTGACCAACAGTCTGGACGGTCATCCTGCGCCTTTTGCGACCCAGTTGGGATGCTTCCTCAGGCCCAAGTCCCATAGCTCCCGCCGCTGATAATGGTGACCATCCCGGTGCTAAGAGTCCATCGTAAGTTACCATCTTAAACTCTTGTGGCATCTGAATGCCCAGATGTCTGTATATGTCCGAAGCTGCCAAGATTGGCAGTTCAAGGGGTGGTTCCATTCTCGCAACAAAGCGCCGATTCGGTGCGGCACCTAGCATGCCTGAATCGAGCGCCATTGCATCTTGTTGGCCCTGGGTAGGAAGAGTCGCCGGTGGGTCTGCCCAGTTAACAACAGCAACATCAGATCCTCCCATCTCGTTCGATGACGACGGTTCGTTTGCATTGTTGTTGTTCATGACTGTAAAGACCTCGGAGTTCACCCACTCTTTGGACACACGGAGCGACGGATATCCTTCTTCACACTCTATTATGATGTTCCATTTGCCGTTATGGTTCCCGGATTCGCCATCCATCGACGGTTCAGACGGCTGATCTATAGCCATGTCATCAGGGGAAGACTTCTTTTGCTTGGCATCCAGGACGCGTGCTTGGTGTACCCAGTACTCTAAGTTGAGGCCAATCCGGCCTCCTTGATGCAGACACGGCTGGCCGACCCAACCACTGCAGAGATGATCGTAGATACCAGAAAACTTGCGGTGATTTCCTTCCTCATCCCAAATGCGCTTCAAGCTTTCGTAGAGGCCTTCTATGGCCTCAAAACAGTTGACTTCTTGGCTGAGTCTGTCATGCTTCGCAAGCCACTGTAGATTCTCATGGAACTTAATCAAAGTTTTCCAAGAGCTCCGTCCCCCATCTTCAGGGGATTCTATCAAATCACGCTTTAGGACAGCCGTAGCTTCCCGACGCTCACCGTCAGTGGCTTCTGGCGTTGCGATATTCAGGCTGACGTCCTTCACGGTGTTCTGCGCACGGTAGAACTCGATTTCGAGGTCGACAAAATTTCCCGCAATACTAAGACTATCCTCCTGCCAGATCGACTCAAAGCCTTCAAGCTGGCCCAGTCGCTCAATGCCTTCCCTGCACACTCCTCTTCCCGCGACTCGCGTCCGTAAAAGCTGAACCACGTCCTCAATGTGTCTTCTCCGTTCTTCGTCGCTGTCGCGCGCACTTCCGAGTTTCAGGCCTTGCATACCGAGTGCCTGAATATCGCTGTCATGCATACCGGGTGCCACTAAAGCGTCATGGACTGCGGGAGACGGGCTAATCCCGCCATAGCCACCGAGTGCAAGAAGAGCCGACGGGGAGCTAAGAGTGACGGGATCGTCGGCCCCAGTAGCTGCAGCCAGAGGTGTGGCGTTCTGATGCGTCGAAGTCGGTTGATGATTATGAGCATGTCCTGAAGCAGATGGGGTCCTCGTTGATGGTGATTTATGCGATATAGGTCGAGTCATAGGCCCAGAGGGGCGGGGAGAAGAAGTCAGATGGGTCGGCGTTGCGCCGGGATTTTGCTTGGAAGATGGAGTCGCCATTGGAGCTGCTCAATACGATGAATTCAAAATGTAACCAGATCAATAACTAGACAAATGCGGGGTATCACGCATGAAACGATAGCAGCAATTCGATTTCGATTTGGGCCTCTTCTCAATACTGCACCGCTGCGCAGTTTCATTATCTTCTATCTGACGGACTGACCGGGCAACACCATGCAATTGTGAAAACTCACTAGACTATCAAAAGCATCGCCAAAGTATGAAGGCAGAGAATGGAAATTGGGAAGGCCAAAGAAAAGCGAAAAGACTGTTTTATCAACCAAAACACCACCCAACTCTATGGATTTCCCGTGAAGGAACTATTTGATGCGGAGTGACTTGCGGCCAGAACGCGGAGTCACATGAGTTTGTTGTGTTTGCCTCCGTCGTCATAGGTAAATGGATGGTCGAAGATTAATCCTTACCCCCAACTACTTCAACGCCTTACTCAATTGAAGTCATTTCAATATGTTTGCGTTTAGGACTTTCGCCCGTAATACTCCTAGTCTGTCAAGATGGTCACAGGTCCGGAGTGTCTCGACATTGGAAGGTCATCCCCACATTGTATGTCTCCAATCGAGTTAATATTTGCTATGATTGGTACTCACAATTTATCTAGTATGTTTTCCCATCTAATGGGAGCCACATCTTGTCATTGTTGCCGTCAGAGCCTCCAAACTCTAGATTGTCCATTGGCGTCACCTCTAAACTGCCCCCTACGACGGACTCCTTTAGGGAGAACCCGGAATTCCTGAAGATCCTACAGGATGTGGTCTCCAAGTATGGACACCAGGACCCGGACGCTGTCTCCCAAGCCCAGGTGATGGCGTCTACATCCGGCGCTAACTTGGGCTCTGGTGGTGTCCTATTGACGGGTGGGCGTGCCAGAAGACGGCACAGTGCAGCAGATTCCAGCGGTGGAGCGAGCGGCCAAGGTGGTGCTGGATCTGCCGGGCGAGGAGGCTGGATACACATTTCGGACAACCGGCGGCCACCCGAGTATGGCCGGATTGCATGGCCCGAAGATATCTTTGGAAGTCTTGAGGTCGATGGTGACGGTAGTTTCGTGGGAAGCAACGGAAATTATCAGCCAAGCGGTACGGTGTTTCTGTATAGAATATTCCAGTGGCGGAGCTGACTTCAATAGGTACTTATAGGATCGTGACTCGGGATGGAATGTAGGTCACAATTTCTTGAAATGGCACCGAACAGTACTAACAGCAGATCTAGTTTGGGTTTGAGTCCATTCCTTAGAGAAAAGTTGGTACAGAGGCTGCGTCAACAGGAGAGTCAATAGCGGACGCATTGAGAAGCCATGTACATTATTCGACTATATTTTATTGAACTTGATAATAATTATGACTAAACTGCAGGCCAGTTTGGTTAGAATCGCAACTCACATCACATCATGATGAGTTAGTATTGCAGGGCACAGTCCGAATAGCACATATCATACGATTCATTGATAGAGGCAGAATACTTCAGTTTGAGAAAAACTTTGTGATTGGCTGAGATCCATCAGCTTTCTTCGCGTTCACCTTTTTCATGGGCTTTTCATTATGAGTGGCACTTCGCATCTTCTTTCCGACAGGGCTTGTCTGTTGCATCGACACTGGGTTATGCTTTGTGATCTTCTTTGACGAAGGGATGAGCGGCCCTGTTTTTAGTTTCTTCATCCCCTCATCTACTACCTTTCCAGGCTCCTCGGGAGTGCGTTCTCTCTTGATGCCCGCTGCTGGCTTGGGTGCATTATCCTCGCTCCATTCATCGTCCTTCGTTGGACGCGGATCGTCTTCGTTCTTGATTATATTTTGATCCGTACTGTCATCGCCTTCAATTTTGACACCCGGCTCGGTCTTTTTCTTTGCATTTGCAAAGAAATTCGCAATATTACTCTTATTTTCCTTACTATTCACCGGTACAATGAAGTCAGGGGAGTTGTTTCCAACCTTGCCGACCTCCTTGGGAACGGGATAGCATTCCAGCTCGCCCTCGTACGGCTTCAGCACAGACTGTAGTTCCTTCGACCACGTCGTCCGATTCGGATCCAGCCAAATCTTCATCGCCTCGCTAGTTGGATCAAGAATCACCGGCATGCGATCATGAAGGAACTTCAGATATGGGTTCGAAGACGTCGTAATAATCGTATACGTGTAGAGCTTCTCATCCTCCCCTTCCACAGCAAATCAGCCTAACCACCAAATAACTGACCCAGTATAGGTCCACAAACTCACCTTCATAAGAAACACAATCCCACAACCCAGCAAAAAGCATCAACTCCCCATCCTTCCGCTTCACAAAATGCGGCACCTTCTCCTTCCCCCCCGGCCCCTTCTTCAACCACTCATAGAAACCCTGACAGACAACCACACACCTCTTCTTCCGCTTCATGGACGTCCACATCCCGCGATCCTCGACCAGCGAGTCATCCCGACAATTGATCGTCCGCATCAGCGACCCGTAGTCCGGTTTCCGCTTCGTCCAGAACGGGACCAGTCCCCACTTCATGCTCTGAATCTTATAATAAAGCTGGCAATGCGATTGTTCGTCTTTCGCTCTGGCCCTATCCTGTGTACGTAATGTAGTGTGAGGTCCACTGTCGTCGTTTTCATTTTGTTCCTCGCCATGACCGGAGGGATATATATCCGCGCGATAGACGGCGCCAAAGTTGCCCGGTGCGAAATTGTATGTCTCTCGGACCTCGTCATCGGAGGGTGCTTCGTCAACCTGGAGGCCTTGTTCCTGGAGGCGCCGACGCATGAAGACCATGCGCTGTTTTGCTTGTTAGATACCTAGTTTTCTGCCTACAGGAGTTGAGTAAGTCGAGGGACATGACATACCACGCCGAGGGCATATCTACCACACATATTCAGATTATTAAAGAGCAAGAACCAGTAAAAGAAGTATTTCACTTAAGATTAAATACTAGTCGCTAGCTACAAGCCCAATCTAGGCAGAGATAGAGAAGGGTGCCTGGAATAGTAAAGAGAATCGATAAGAGAGCGACGTCATACTGCGACGGGAGCTCCGACCAATAGGGATGGAACATAGATTTTAATTCTTTCGCCTACAATTTACTCTCTTCTCTTGTCTATTCTACTCTCTTTCACATACACACTCCCTCACACCACCAGCCAATTCAAGCCAATTTACCAAATCCCACAATTTACTACAAAAACCCCCCAATGCCGAAATAGCCAACTAACCCAAAAAAACCAAACCAAAATGTTCACAACAACCACCCTTCGTCTCCCCAGAACCCTCACTTCAACACTCACCCGCCGTCTCTCAACGCTCCCCAAACCCCCCCGTGCAAGTCTCAAAACCAACCTCCAACCCTTGCAACTTTCACAAAAGAGATCCCTCTCGACCTACCAAAAATGGACCCTCGGCCTTAAACAAGCCAAACGCGACATCTGGCGCAAAAACCCCATCCTACTCCCGCTCGCGCTCTTCTCCGCCGCAACAGCCACAGCCATATTCACCTATATCGCCTATGTCGAGTACACGCGCGTCGGCCCCCAGTACCACAAGTTCCCACCGCCGGTGGCGGAGGCGCTCCGCACGGCGGTCTACTACACGGAGGTGGACCTGAGTCCGCCAAAGGCGCTGCAGGCATACAAGGAGGCGCTGCGGATTGGGATTGAGATGGGGATGCATCCGTTTTCGGACGAGGTGGTCGGGATTAAGATACAGGTAGCGATGATGCTTGAGCGGGCGGGGTTGGCGAAGGCGGCGGTGGAGGTGTTGGAGCGGACGAAGGGGGAGATTATGGGGTTTGTGGAGGGTAAGGATCGCGGGGAGGGAGTGATTGGGGTGAAGATTGAGAAGGAGGATGAGGAGGAGAAGAGGAAGGAGTTGGAGGAGTTTGAAAAGCAGCAGCGGGATCGGGTGCTAAAGAAGGCTGTGGGGATTGAGATGAAGCTTGCGGAGCTGTATTCGAGCGACTATATCCAAGATGAGAAGAAGGCGGAGGCAGCGCAGGTTGCGGCTGTGGAGTTGTGTTTGAAAGAGTTGCATCGGCGACAGAGTTTGGGCCTCCCTGTCGGGGGTGGGTTGGAGGCTGATAATACTGAGGGGTGGTTGAATGTTACGGAGATTGCGACGGCGTTGACGGATCTGGCGGGTCGGTATACGGCGCAGGAGAACTATGAGCTTTCGATTCCGCTCCAGATGCGGGCGCTGGATCTGCTCCATACTGAGGAGGGGGATACGCCGACGTGTAAGCAGGTTGTGCTGCTGAATAGTGTTGCTGGGTGCATGGCTGGACAGGCGCAGAAGCCTATTAGGGCTGAGGATCCGAAGAAGGCGAGGGAGCAGCTTTTTGATGCTGCTCAGCAGTGGGCGAAGAAGGCAATTGACGTTGCAGCGAAGATTCAGCCTCCTGTTCGCGATGAGGAGTGTGATACTTCTTGCGTGGCGGCGACGTTTAATTTGGGTTGGCTGGCGGAGTTCCAGGGTAAGGCGAAGGAGGCCAAGAGGCTCTACGGAGAAGCCAAGTCGTTATCGCAGGGTCTGGGCTTTGAACAGGGTGTCTCTATGGCCGACGCTGCTCTTAAGAGGCTCGCGAAGGAATAGATGAGCGGAGGCCTCTCTACCATAGACCCATGACATGTACAATATGATATAGCTAGTGTATGGATACATGGATATGAAAAGTCCGGCAGGACATGACAGGCAGTCTCTACTTGTACGAATACGGCAGTGACATAGATATAGTACGGTCACCTTACCCTAGTGTATAAGCCCCAGCAGTGCTTTTAAGGTATTTTTTGTCTTTGTATTAGAACATGGCATGTCTTCCTTTACAAGATCCCAGACATTCGGATTTTATGAATCGAGTAAGCTAGACATGTTTAGAAAAACTTCGGGTCCGGTTAAGGAACGCCGAAGTGCTTCATTGCTCGTGGCTCATACATCCCAACCAATGCCTGCCCTTTTTTGTTAAGGAAAAATAAAAAACAAAATAGTTATCTTCCTCTCATGTCCCTCACCGATGGGTATTCATCATTTATGCCCTCGACATGACACCCCAGGCACGGATCTTGTTGTCAGTGTAACCAGCGAACAGAGTCTGGCCGTCAGCGCTCCAGGCCAAGCTGACACACTCGGGCTCGCGGCTCTTCTTGCCCTTCTCGATGTACTCGGGCTTGAGCTCATCAACCTTGCTCTTCTTCTCGAGGTCGAAGATGGTGATGCTGCTGGCGGTGGCAGCGCAGAGCCAGTAGCGGTTGGGGGAGAAGACGAGAGCGTGGATCTCATCGCCGGCGTGGAGGGAGTAGAGGTGCTTGGACTCGTTGAGATCCCAGAGCATGGTGGTACCGTCCTTGCCACCGGAGGCGCAGAGGGAGCCATCGGGGGAGATGGTGACGGTGTTGATGTAGCCGGAGTGACCGATGTGGTCGGTCTGGAGGCGGCAGGAGGCGAGCTCCCAAACCTAGTAACACAGTTCAGATTAGCTGTGAACACACTTTTCCACGTGCAGATGCAGAGAGATAGCATTGAAGTGTTGAATGTTCATCAGGGTATAGGTGATTGTTGGTCTCATGGCCGTAAAGGCTCTGAAGTAGCAAATACGTTTTATACAGAAACATCATTTGAACAGGTCGATTTCGGTAAAGGGTAAAAGCAAACAGTCTGATGCGTACCTTGACGAGCTTGTCCCAGCCAGCGGAGACGATGACAGGGTTCTGGGGGTTGGGGCTGAAGCGGACGCAGGAGACCCAGTCGGTGTGGCCCTTGTCGGTGATGGTGAACTTGCAGTCACCGAGGGTGTTCCAGAGCTTGATGCTGCGGTCACGAGAAGCGGAGACAATCTGGCGGTTGTCGGCGGAGAAGGAGACGGAGAGGACGTCGTTGGTGTGGCCAACGAAGGTACGGGTGGTCTCGCCGGTAGCGAGCTCCCAGAGGCGGAGAGACTTGTCCCAAGAGGCGGACAGAGCGTAGGCACCGTCGGAGGAGATCACCTATTGTATTCGCAAAATCCACATGTCAGCCCAACTTCCTTTCGTACCAAGTCCCCCGCGATATCCACGGTCTTCGGAAGGATTCGGTTTGCATACACAGTCAGAGACGATGTGAGAGTGACCCTCGAGGCTGCGCTTGGGGTAACCGTAGGCCTGCTCGTCGCGGGTAAGGTTCCAGATAATCAGGGTCTTGTCGCGACTGCCAGAGAGCAGCATGTTGGGGCTAGAGTCGGAGAAAGAATTAAGTCAGAAACCATTTTTTATCCAGAATCAATCAACCAATGCCATTTCTCGAATTTCTTCATCACTGAAGATTTTCACACATCTTTCTTGTATGGCTTTCAAAATTTCTTTCTTGTCTTTGATATCGGATCCGGAATTCCCTTACTTCTCCAAAGAGGTGGCAAGGGAAGTAACCCAGCCATTGTGACCCTCGAGGGTACCGCGAAGGACCAGCTGCTCAGCCATGATGACGATGGTAGGGGACCGCGAGAGGGAGAGAGGATGAACGCGGGCGGAGCAATTGTCGTTGACTCTGAGGTAAAATCCCAACGTTCGAAGATGGAGGAGCAGAGTCGGCGTGCCCGCCTAAGCCCTAACTCCCTTACCGCCCTCTGTGTGCGTGGTCACATGGAACCCTAACATAAGCGAGTCACGTGTGGCGGTTAGTTTTCTTAGTTTTCTTAGTTTCTGGTTCCGATAATAGTGGATCCTCAAGCAATATAATACCATTCGCTCTTGGGATCTTAAAGAGATGGAGCTTCCATATTGCCTACTAATTGGTTATACAGTATGCATCTCTCTCTCCTCACTCCATGATATTGTCGATCATTTGACAGAGCTCACAACTCACTACTTTTGTGATATATTTACAGTAATACAATAGTCTTGCCAGTGGAACTATCAATACTCTTGACCAGTAGTACTCTTGTCAATGACAGTTGAGGACGTTAAGCATCTACCCCAAACAGACAATGTAACTCGATGGCTCGGGAGAGGCTGTGACAAGCTGTACATCAGGGACTATATAGATATACTAATCACGTACTGAATAGTTACTAGCTGTCATGTATCTATCAGTATATGTTATGTTTTACAGCCTATACAGTACATACATGCGCTAGATGCGCTAGATGCGCTAGATACCTAGTAATACACCACTCCAACAGCATATCCTCAGAGCCCTATAAGAACCAATATAACGAAAGGCACCTAACACGAACAATGCATAAATTCCCTACACGAACCAACTATATAGTACAATCCCAACCCGGTATGCTTTTATACAAACATCTCTCTATACAACATCCAAATCTACATCACGAATCAAACACCTGGACATTCGGCATGCGACCAAGTCCCGCACCACCCGTCTTCTTACTCTTGGCAGCATGGAACCCAGTAGCGCTGTTATCCTGCACATGCTGTCTCAAAAGGTGCAAGACCTCTGAATCAGCCCAGCGAGACGGAACGGGCCGGTAAGCAGCCTTGTAGGCACCGACCGTCTGGGCCCATTCGCCGCTCTTAGCCCCAGTGCGCTTCCAGGTCTCGGTGGGGGTATCCTCAGCGACGTTGCCCTCGGTGGGAGGGTCCTGCGTCGCCCAGTAGTATATATCCCAGTCGTTCTCGTCGAGGAACCGGTCATACTCCTGCAGCTGCTCTTTGTTCATCTTGGAAAGATAAACATCGGCGAAGGTAGAAAGCAACAAATCGGACTCGAGAATTCCTCGCTTCCGGCTCTGATCTATTCCATGCACCTATATCAGTCCCCATAGATCTTCCAATAAGGAATTAGTAATACTAGAGAAAGGGTATACTCACACAACAACCTGGCCCGAATAGTAGAAACATCCTCCCCACTGCGCTTCAGCGGCTCAACCTTAAACGTAATGCCCTCCATCTCACCTACGCCCAGCTCTGGCTTCTGCGCGCCCGTCTCCTGGCGCCCACCCGTGAAATGCTCTACCTTTCCGGGGTAGGGATCCGCCGGCTTGTAGTTGGGGTCGACGGCGCTGACAAATTCCGGCGGCACGGACTTCTCCCCGGCCTTTGGGAAGTCCCTGGTCATGGTAGAAGTCGTGTTGGGCACATATTGGTTGGGAGGCCGGTTGGTCTGGTATTCGCGGTGCTCTGGCGCTGTTGAGGGAGCGCGGCCGTTATCGTCTTTGGGACGAATTGCCGAGCTGCCGAAGGAGCGACGGGCGAGGGTTTTTCTGAGGAAGAATGGCGACGTTGAGGGTCGCGCGAAGCGCTGGATGAGTCTTGCAGCAGACATGTTGGCCTTGCCGATATGTTTGTTGCAGGAGAGCTGTGTAAGAGAGAATCGTCGCTGAGGAGGATCGGAATTGTTTCTTAGTTCACCATGACGGGATTGACATCATCCGGAGATTTTGGAGGTGCTGTTTGTTGTGTTTGCATGCTCTAAACATGGCCAACCAAAGTTGTGTATTACAAAGATTATATTGAATCGCAGGGAGCCGGCTATGCACATGGTACATATGTACAATATGTACTAATGGATTAGTCTCTTTAAAGTTGGAGTAATCCATTACATCATCCCCAGTTGTCTAACGCTATCGTAGGATCATAAAAGTGTTCAAAAAGTATACCGTGAGATATATCCGAGACTACATAAAGTCGAAACCACACTCAACAGATGCATAGAACTCCACATGTTGTCATGAGAACAAGGAAACTACAACGCAGAGTGCCTTTCCGCTCAGTCCAGGCACTTCGAAACAGGGACCGTCTAGATAAGATGCTTGGATCTGCAAGTAGTCGTAGTCGTCAGCCGAGTGGTAACCATCCACAACCAGACATACATACCTGAAGTAGGCCCTCAGATAAATGACCTGCCAAACGCCCAATCCAATCAGCATTCCCATCGTGCCAAACGCAAACCATTTCACACGCTCATTGGTGCTCTCGTTGGTGTCACGCAGCTTCTGCTCACGTGCACGAAGATATTCCATTTCGCTGACGATTTCTTGCACCATCTCCTCAATGCGGCGGAGGTCAGTCTCGAGGGGCTTGAGCTTCTCATGGTCCTGAATGCTAGACCAGTCGCGAGCATCGGCGCCAATGTCGACATCGAGTTCAATGGACCGATAAGGGTTCGCAACACCGACTGCACAAAACATCAGAAAATCAATCCAACAATCCAACAAGAATAATAGTCAAAGGCAGGAACAGGCTAAGTGACATACACCGTCCTTCAAGCTTGTTCTCGAAGCAAACATCGAAAGCAGTATCCTCCGAAGAAGTGAAAGTCTGTCTCGTCTCGCCTACAACGTCCCTCGGGCGACCGTGGTCATTACCCAGGGCATCTTTGATCTAGTTTCCAAGAAGAACGATTAGCGAATCCGCTCCTGATTCAATCCAGCCCGACGAACACCAGTCCTATGAAGTAGGCTTCATAATTCACCGCAAATAACCATTGACCGAGCATAGGGGCGTAATGAGACATACATGCATGTTGACCTTCTGTCCATCACCCTTCTGACCGCTCACAATAGCTGTCACGACGACAAGTTGGTCCTTGAAGACGAAGTTGCGGATACATCGCTCGTTCTTTCCGCTCACGGCGGGCAGGTCGAATTTCAACGCGGCGGAAATCTGGATAAGACACAAGACTAAGATTCCGAGGATAGACCTCATGGTAGGCTGTGACGTCCCCATTGTCGAAGCTAGATGTCGCTGTGGTCGACAGTGAGGTTTTGGAAACTGACAACAAAGCTCGGGAGCTGCCATTGATGCCACGCCGCGCTCAAGGGTTCCGGGGCCATCGGGAGAACAATGTTCCGCCATCAAATCGACCGCGCTTTAAGAACGGATATTGATCTACACTAGTCCAGATCTCTAAAAAAAAAATACTTGAGGATCATTAGAAAACTTCTACGATTGTTGTAAATCCTTGGAAAATTTGGAATGAGATTAAAGAAATTAGTCATTTTGTGGCTAGCAGCTTCTTGATATCATGTACGGTTCGCCCGATTTTTATAGTAAACGCATGAACACGGCTTCCCAGGGGAATATCGCGCAACATAGAAAAGTAAAAAGGAAAAGGAAATAAAAATAAAAGTAAAACAATGTCCCGAACTTAGAAGATTGAAGGCAGGATATCATTCGTTCCAAACCCCATAAAGTCGAACATGACGGGGGTGCAAATTCAACAGGACAAAGTGGTATATGAAGGAAAAGGACAACGAGTGTCGTGCCAAAGCAACGAAGAAAATATGGAAGATATACGGAAGGGAACTCGTTCACCCAAGGCCCAGATGTCAAGACTGTAGGATTTTGACCCGCGGACCAAGGAAGTAAGGAAAGAGAGAACCTGAATCAAACGAAACACAGGATGGATCGTCACATGGCTTAAAAACGCTCTTGAAGAAAAAGAGAACAGAGAGGTAAGGACATATCTAAAGAACACGTAGGCTAATTGACTTGAGAATGGAGATATGGAAAAGAGAGAGGATGAGAAGGGAATAGGGAGGACATAAAGTAGGTTTACAGACTGGCACTAGACCTCGAGCTTCTTCCGGCGCCCGAAAAGGCGCGAGAGGCTATTCACCCCAGATTCTCTACCCTTCGAAGCCATCGATGAGGAGGCTCGGGGTGCAGGAGGCTCAGGAGGCCCCGTCGTCCTGAGGAATTCAGCCAGGGCACTAGTCTCTGTTTGCCGATCTGTGACGGAGGGAAGGCTGCTAGTTCCATACATTGCGCCTCTGCTCCTCTCGGCGCTAACTTTGACTGAATAGTTAGATGGCGCTGCAGCATAGCCGTCCTGCTGTTGACGGAGCGAGGCCTTTGATAGTTTCGTAGTAGGCACCTTGTCCCCAGAGGCATTGCGAAGAAGTCGCGCCTTCATTCCAAACGCACCAGATGAGCTCTTGGAGGGCATCGTGCTGACTGCGGGGGGCTGCGGGGTTGGCTCCAATTCCGGAGGAGGAACATTACGCAAGAAATCTATCAAGCTTTCCTCTTCGCGCTTGGGCTTTGGGCCATCCAGGAGCTCGTCAAGGTCCTCATCGTCATCTGAATCAATGGCATAGGGGTCTGGCACCCTACGTTGTTTCCGCACAGGACGAGGGTCGTCCACTGGAGCGGTTGGAATGTGCTGAGCAGCAGTTGGATGCACGGTAGTTCGGTTGCCCGTGTCCAAAAGTCCTGTGCGAGACCCGACGGAAGTCAACATTGACCCGTCTTGCGTGCTAGATACCGAGGGCGCATTATTTTCGGAGAGGCCAGTTTCCAGCGAGTTCAACTCGTCTGAATCCATGGTGTCTCGGAACGGTGCAACCGCACGTGGAATGCGGCGTGCCCCTGCGGTGGGTGGACCTTCACGAATGAAGTCAATCAACTCGGTTGTCCGATCTTGATCCGCCTTTGAACTAATTGCTGAACGGGCCTCCAGCTTAGGGCCACTGCGAATTGTGCTCGACGGAGAACGTGGTGATTGGGTCTGTTGGATACTGAGAGGGCTGCTTGGACCGGTCGACTTGATAGAGTGATCGTAATCACTAGAAGACCCAGTATTTAGTTTCCGATCGGCAGCTTGTTCCAGGTTTGATGATTGTTGCGAGGTCGCAGTCGAGGGTATTTCGATAGCTTTATATTTAGGTGCGTCGGTAGTTCCCCTGGAAGACGTGTGAGAAGTACTAGGACGTGGAACTTCCCCGGGAGGGGCGCTATTCTTCAAGAACTCAGCCAGGTCCGCAGTGCTCGACCTAACTCTCCAGCGAGGTGAATCAGGCTCCTATAGGAAATTGATTATCAGTCGACAAACTCAAATAAGAGGGGGAGAGTAAGAAAGAAAATTAACCATACCTCAATTTCCCTCATACTTTTCGGGGTGAGGGTATAATGGAGAGTTTCCTCACTGCGGATCAATTCGTCCAAGCCGGTCGTGTCGTCATACGGTTCTCCAGCGAACCGATTGGTCTCGGAGGAGTTGCGCAGGCGAAGTGAAACAGAATCCCCTTGAAGACCAATGAGGCCTTTCAGCCTGATTGAAACCTGTGACGTGGTCGACCCGGCAGTAACTGGGCGTTTCTCACGTTGGCTACTAAAACTGTCGGAGCGACGCGGTCTGGAGTAGACGGAAGAGGCTGCTGAAGTTGACGGTCGGATGACACGCTGAACCGCTGCACGTTCAGTAGCCGAACTTATCGAGGATACCCCTGAACTTGAGCGGCCGTAATGATGGTGACTTATACCCACCAAGGGGCTTGGTCTAGGTCGAGTCCGCGAACGGTCGGAAATAACACTTTCTCCAGAGGTGGAAGGTGGACGAGGGATCTTCTCTTCCAGGTCAGTCGAATTCCGAGTCTGAGGGACTGAGGACTCTGTTGAAGCTCTATATGTATCAGAATCCTTTGAAACATCGTGACTGATGGCAGGCGGCGCCGGAGTGGAGTCTTCACCCCCTTGCGTTTGTGGCGGATCATCGACCACTGTTGGCATCACTCGTTCGCTGATCACTCGGGTCGCGGTAGTCGACCTGTCATATTCGCGATTTGCGTCCCTGCTACAGAGACGTTTGGGTCGCTGTATCGGAGCCAATTTGGGTTTTTCGCACATTCCTTGTCCTTCAATCACCTCCGTGTCCGAATCGGTCTGGAAACGATCGCTCAGAGATGTTGACGAACCTGAAGTACTACTGGCTTGACTCGACTCGATTTCTACCGACACGGCAGATTGTGACGACGTAGCCATCTTATCCTGCTCCAATGATTCCTCAGGAGGAGCTTCTACCTTTGACACCTTTGACTCAGCCTTGGCCTTGGGATGCTCATTATCTTCTTCGTGCTCATACATGGTTTCCAGCGGCTTTTGTTCGTCAGATGAGGTGGGCGATGGCCGGTCGGCAGTTTGGTCAACTTCTGCCGACTCCTGGGGGGTAGTATCGGGCAACGACCTCGCGCGGACATGACGAGTGAACTTTGCGCTCAGTGGGGTGATGGGGGATGTAGGGGATCTTGGTGATGGCAAGGTCAGCACCATGAGACTATGGGGTCGCACTTTGTGAGCCACTACTGCCTGCATAGTCTGGACCACCTCAGTACCTTCTCCATCAGACGTGAAACCTTCGATCTCCTCGACATCGTGGTCACCCACTGGGAGTGCAACAAAGGCCGGGTCAATCTCCTTCGGAATCTCGATGACCGGTCTTTGTGGTAGTTCATCCCCGGTAACTGTACTACTCTTCCGACGAGTCGAAGGACCAACTGTTGAACGGCGTCGAATAGACTCTCTGGAAACTGCTCGGGACAACATAGGAGACCGCGTTTGCCTACGCCAGGTGCGCCAAAGACGACCCATGGTTGGATTCAATGCTAATTTCTCCATATCCAAGTCCTCCACGACTAACCGGTTGATGGTGCTTCGTTCTGCGCTGGAGTCTGCCTCCTCGGGCCCGTCACTTGGTTTGGAGGATAGTCGCGACCGAGCTGTTTCGCCCGCTATCACCAAGGCCTGTTCACCAATATGTTCGATAATGGAAGTCAGGAAGATGGCAGCCGCCGGTGTAATATTTCCTACATGCATAGAAAACCTCGGCGAGATGCTGCCGTCGTCATCCAAACCATTCTGTGCGATATACTCCTCCTCGTCATCTTCTTCCATATCTCCCAGTCGGGTATAGACCATACAGCGCAGGCGAGTCAATTTCCAGGAACGAACCAGATCGAAATCACCGTTTTGAGACATACCCCGACCGAATTGGAACTGCTCATCCTCCGGGCCACCCATATACTCGCGCAACTCCTCATCTGCCGCAGAAACCACTTGGTTTGCGAGTCGAGGCTTCAACACATCCGCCACCGCTGGTCGAATACATGTGAGTTGCGTTGACTTAGCAGCCGCCAGGATATTGAAGAGAAGATGGTCCAGAAATCCATTCAAAGCTGAAAGAGCTTCGGGAGTGACGATCGCTTTCGCATCCGAATCACCGCCGTCTTCTGCCACGAAGTCCGCGGTATTGAATTCCTGGTCAGCGGTGACGATCTGAGCGGCGGACGAAGATGCGATAAAGGAAGGCGGAGGCGTCGCTGCTGGCGCAGTCATGCGAATGCGCGGAAGAGAATCGCTTGACATGCTGTTACTCCGGGAGTGTGAGGCCGTCCGCGCCACGTCGGACTCTAAACCTTTTGTATGCTGCATTGTCGATATGAGGGATCACATACAAATGGCGGGGCTGCGCTAATCCGGGGTTCGGGGTGTGGCGGTGACGTAGTTTATCTTTTTGTTTTCTTCTATTGTTATTCAATCTGGGAAACCTGGATCATCCTGGAACGGGGAAACAATGAAATTTCGTCAGCCTTGCGGTCAATTGTACAGCCCACCTTAGGGCCACTTTTTGCGATGACTGTTATGTAGAGTACGAGCTGACGATATCAGGCCGTCCATGGGGCGTGATGATGAAGCTCAGTCTCATATCCAAGGCGAACCCGGGGGGTAAAAGAAGGAAACCTTCAAGCTGCAGATGCTGAGAAGCGTTGGAACGGGGCTAAGACATACCCGTGTAACAAGTTCAAAAGCTCTTCACATTCATTTCGTTAGTGTACTCCGTACCGTTAGAATGGTTCCGAGGAACCAATAAGTCATTAGAAAAGGTGAACCGTAGCGGACAGACGATGTGTATCCGATCCCACGGCCAGGGAAAGCAGTAGAAGAAGGAGGGGAGGAAGAGACCGACGGTGAAGAACGAGAGAAAGAGAAAGAACGCAAGTGCCGTCTTCTTCCATCCGGAGGCAGATCAGGAGTACTAAACCAAGGCTAAGGCCATAGTAACGGCGGAGAAGTTTAGTCAACAAGTCTAATTCGGAGCACACCACCGTATTAGGATTCTTTATTATTAGTCTAGTCTCCATGAATTTAATTTTAATTAGAATTTATTTTATTATAACTACGACTCTGCTCCAAATTCTTTTTTTTTTTTTTCCATTTGGCGGAAATACTAAGGCTCACTGCCCATTGGAGTTTAGCGAGACTGCAGGATCAGGAGAGACGGAAAAGTGGAGACGCACGATGGCGCATCCTCTTTGGGATCCATGGGTGGAGCCAACAAGTACCTGACTAGTCACCTTCTTTCTAGTCAACCACACTAGTTTAACTTGAATGTTACAGGGTCAGGCTTAGTCTAATGTGTAGTAGTCCGTACACTGTACAGAATACATCCACTGTGACCAAGGTGTCTGTTGTCATTGCTCAACCCAAAGAGAGCCTTCACAACACTCCCGTGTCTCTCCCTCCCTTAATGTCAAACACTGATCTAACTCTCGACACTAGCCATCATCATCCAATTGATTCTAATCACCCTTGCCACTCATCGGAGTATACCTCCGGGACGGGATATCCCCTTCAGACCCGTGGAAGAAACCTGTAATAGTGTTCTGATAAGCAACTGATCGTTCCACGGTCCTTCTGGTCATCATTCTGAGGTGATAAACCAAGAAGTTACTGCGACAGGCAAGCCCTGCGAAGAGAAAGAAGCCCAAAAGAAGACCAAAAGAAGGTCAAGATGACACCGAGACGGAAACGATCTCCATCCCGAGAAAACTAATGAAAGAAAAGGGCCCCACTTGGTCTTCCGTCCCAAGCCACCTGAAGAGCCAATCCGATTGGGGTTTACCCGTCCCAGCTCCCAGGGTCAGGGGGCGAAACGACAAGAAAAAGGAGCAAAAAAAAAAAAAAAAAAAAAAAAAAAAGAGGAACGAAGGAAGGGAAAATGGACCGGCCAGAATTTCGCCGTGTTTCAAGTCTGTATTAAATCTATCTGTAAGTTCTGGGGGATCATCATATTTGCTTTTTATCGGTTCTGACCGGCTTTTCACCACACGCTGAGGTGAGCGAAAAACCTTAGTCCATGCCTATTCTTGCCTGACGACTGCGCACGAGATGGTCCGCCTCGTGTCCTAAAAATTTGAAGAATTATCATTCCCTCTTTCTCTCCGGATCGGCTCTCGCGCACGCAGTACCGGAAAACCGACTCTCCATCCAAACTTAGTTTCCCAAACTATTGAAGCTGATCCAATCGTGTCCCATTACCACTTGGGGGAGGAAAAGAGGCTGATCCACCTGACACTATTGTTCTTCTTTATCCATACCCTGCCCTGGATTAATCTGATTGGATGTACCCTCCATCATTATTTCCTCTGACTGTGTCTCCTTTTTATTAGTATTCCTTTTTTCTTTTCCCTTCTAATCCACTTAACCGCCACTCAATTACTCCGTACACGACCACGTACGGAGTACGGATTACAGTAAACCAGAAAAGGAATACAAAGAAAGGAAGAAAGAAAGAAGCCTACAACTGACCAACCCAAACCCACCAGAAAGAACCCCCGAAAGGAGACGATCATAACAGCACGCCCGAGTATAATAACGGGGCACAGGTCAAAACTTCCCCATACCAGCCACAGAGCTTACTCGACGGCAGTAAAAGCCGTGAGGCGCGTGACGCTTAAAGTTGTAGGAATATACAAAGCACGGGCTCCTGGATAAAGCAAAAACATCCTCGATTCAAATACTCCCGTCCAATCCACGCCTGAAATTGGCCATAGCCCTGCGGATGTGAACCCACTCAGTTATCAAGGTTGCCCCCCCCCCGCCCTCTCAGGTACGTGTCGATGATCTCATTCGGCAGTTGACGAGGTCGGAACGAGAAAAGACAGGGACCCATTTCGGGAAAAGGCGATTTCAAATCAAAGGCTACGTACTCCGTAAGTACTTAACTTTTATTGATAGCGGGTAGACTAATGCCCGTATCTCCATTCGTGGGTCGGTCATTTTCTCCAGCGGGGTCATCGTAATAAACCATGGTTGATGGTGACAGGCTCATTTAGATTGGATTAATCAACCAGATCATGGGATAAATTAAAGTGATCTCAGCTGAGATCAGCTCAGCCAACATAGTGTGCATGTGTGTGTGCGTGTGGTAAGCTGAGAAAGAAAGTATATTATATCTAATGTACATTGTCGGCACGGAGTAGGGTACCGAGTAAGTCCCCACGATGGAGAAACGATAGGATAGTAGAAACGGAATACTCCGTACCTACATGACTCAAGTAGTCGATCTTCTCAGAGCAAATTTCCCAAGAACCACTGAAAAAGACAGAATCACCCAATCTATACCCCGGTCCATACGTACGCACTATATACTAATACAGTAAGTATACAGTAGTAGCAATATATTAGGTAGTATATGTACCAATCACCCAGAAAGTACCAATACATGCTCCAAGACCTCCCAGAAAAACCCGCAGGATTCACATCCCAGCATCCACCAATGTAAAACACATCTGAATCAGCCCACGACCGCAGTGGTCGTCTCACGATGGACCAGGATGTCGGATACCTGCATGCATGGGCTCGGCTCCACCCTTACTCAGATGATACTAAAATCATCTGGCCCCCAGCGGAAAAAATGAAAAAAAAAAAAAAAAAAAAGAAAAAGCAATACTCCGTAAAATAATTGCTTGATTACGTCTCGGGCTAGCCCTAGCCTTCTGTCTGCCTATTATCATTCTTTGCTTTTGGGAACCGAACATCTAGAATCTTGCTTGCATATTATAGTTAGTCGGGTTGCACTATCGGATATCGTGGCGTCTGGGGGTTCTAGACGATGACGGCATCGTTTGTTGGTTTCAGTATTTACGTGTGCTTAGTTGGATATGCGTGCAGTAGGGGCGATTCAAGACATTTCATTTTTGTCTGTATTAGTAGTGGTTCGCATGATCGGCATATCCGATATTTTTGGATCTTGTGGCTTGTGGCTTAAGCTTGGGGAGATCTGTGGATGGGATGTGCCTGGCAGTAGGTTATGTCAGTGCGGTCTTGAAACCAATGGGAACTTGTCGTACGTTTGTTGTGCCTATCTTTTGACTGCATAGTCGGCCTTGGAACTCTGGTACTGTCGCCTCTTAGGAAGGCCGTAAAAAATGACTTACGGAATCAGAAACGATTTTTGAGCTTAGGGTGATGGTACGGCAACAATCACTACAACGCAAGGGAAATGCGACGGCCTACAAAAGAGACAGTCAAAGCTTTCCTCGTGGTTGAAAAGAGAGCCACGTAGATATATGCCCGCATTGTTAAATGGACGTGACCATGGCCGCTGAAACTCAAGATGTCAAAACTGAATAGATTAACCCGCTAGATAAAGCTTTTGTAAATCGCTATAGATAAATCAAATAAATTCCCGTGTTTCCGTGCCATACTTTTGTCCTATGTTGGCTTCGTTCTTCCTGCACTGAAGCCTTTTGTTGATCGTAAATCATTTCAATGGACCATATAGGGTTTCCAGTTTTCAAGGGCATAGGCGACCCCGCCAGCAAAAAAGCTCAGCTCATCATGTCCGATCTTGACATCACAGGCCAATCTTTCGGAGAGAAGGCCCTCAATCTTCTTCAATAAGCTCAGGTTAAGACTCTCACGGGTCTTAGTCGCCCGTTCCAAAGCTCCCTTTTCTTCGCTGAGGCTTAAAAGTTCATCAAACTCCTGCTTGGCAACGAGGTTGGGAAATGTTCCAATCACATGGTCGAGGGCATGATCGAGATAAACCCTATCGGCAATATCTGCCTCCAAGTACGGCGATGTAACACGGCCCATCTTGATGTCGCCAACCCGCGCGTGCAGACGCGATTTGTAGCCGGGATCAGCGATCCCATTGATGCCATTCATATAAGCGATGAAAAGCTGCTTGTCTAGATCTATGACATCACTGGTATGTTCTTCAGGCAACTGCTTGATGGAGTCACTGATACCGCCATGTTCGGCGTCATCGAAATCGTCATCGACATCGACATCGTTTCCCTCCTGTAAATGGAGGCTGCCAGATGCCCTTGCCATCTCCATAAGCTCATGGCAGGTCAATTCCGTACAGGGTGAGTCTTCTTCTTGGAGCTCTGGCGCTTCAATATAGCGCAGGTTGGTGTCAAACCTAACATTGTTTGACCCGAATGAAATAAAGGAGCCATCGGCTGAGTCGTTGTCGTAATCATAGTCATTGTCATCATCTTCGCTATATTCGGACATGGAGTCCGATTCATCTTCCCAGCATGTGACGTAGTACACTTCATCGTCATCGGAATCCGAATCAGAATCGGAGTCGGAATCATCTTCTGATAAAAACTCAAACTCTTGTTCAGAAGTACCCGATGCATAGCCGGACTCAGATTCTTCGTCTCCCTCGATTTCGGCATACCGTCTCTTTAAGATCGGCTTCAAGTACGGACGATCTGCCGTAGCCGTAGTTGGTGTTACAGACGAGACCACTGACGAATTGACGGTGGTCGGGTTAGTCGATGTGACTGAAACTTCATCAGATGCATAACAGCTGTCCTGAGAGAGAGAGATTTCGAGGCCAGAGAATGTCGAAGAAAGAGACTCCCAGGACTTCTTGTTCATGGTTTGATTGCTCATCTTGATAACCTGTGATCTGTGTTCGAGACACGTTCTGCCAAGTACCAATGTAGGTATGTTGAGACCAAAGGCCTTGACAACAGGTGAAGAATAGACCGTTTGATTTATTGAAAAAGGATCAGTAGTTGTGTTTTCGATTTTGAAAGTTTTTGGCTTCGAAGGCCTCCGAAGAACCGGTAGGAGTCCATGGTGAAGCACAAGCGTGAATCAAGGTATTCATCTAGTGGAGGCTGACGAGGGCATCCCCGACAAAAATAATCTTGGAATACATCTTGCTGATTACTTCGAGTTCCGTGAATTTCTTAAGGTAAAAGACATGCACTTCTGGTGCTGCTGAAGGTTACCGGTACAAGGCTCCGGTTTGAGTCCTCTCCTCGTTTTCAAAAAAGGGTTGATTTTGATGGACTCTGCGGCGATATACATATAGACTGTAGGTGTGCGTATTCGAGAACTTTCAAGGTATTTTGGTCGCCCACGACGCGTTGCGTGGCCTTAACAGGGATAGTTGAGTCTGGACAAGAAAGCGCGACTTCCTCGACTGAATCAGAGATATATTCGCGTCGTTGTACCAGATGATGAGTCGAGCCCTGAGCTTATAAATTCACGCCACTTTGCGTGGGATGGGGTGAGAGATTTGGCGGGGGCGCGAGGGGTAACAATCGGAAGATAGTCAGATTGCCCCAAGGGAAGTTCAGAGATACACTATCATGAATCCACACAACAAACGTGTGGTAGCGATAAGTGTGGTAATGATGAAACAGCACAGGGTGCCTGTGGAAGGAGGGTCAAGGAAAGACGACCGTCGCTGACAGTCCTGCCTTGGAGTCAGATTTCCGTCATCATCCTCCACCTGACCAGTTGCGGCTGTTCGCCCCCTTCTTTCGGCTCCTTTCGGCCCGGCTTCGGAAGTCCAGAAATGGTATAGCGTTCCTCGGCTGCCGCTTGTTTCCCAACGAATGAAGTCATGGCAACCAGTTCGGTATCCAAGTTGATCCGCTCCGGGTTAGGGCTTCTGGACCGGAGTACTCCGTACCCGATCTGGTACTACTCAATATAAGCTATTATAAGCAAGTATTGAAGTAAAGAAGGAACCGCGTCAGGCGGGATGATGGTTGTGAAACACGTCAAAATCTAGGTTGTACAATCAAGATTGAGTAGATCCCTACTAATTCTATAAGACTTCATGTGTACTTATGTTTAATTAGCAAAAGTACTGGTCACAGGAGGTTTAATGAAGGACACTCGCCTTAATCTGGCGAGCATCAACGACGGAGATCTTTGTTCAGTCCCTGCATATCTGCAGGTACCACAATTGAGCGTATACTTTGAGTATACTCTGAGGCAAGGTACTGATATGTCCCTTGTACTCTCAACCTAATCCGTTCCTAGATGTTTATCATTCTTAGTTAGTGTCAAGCATTCCAATCTCAAAATAGGTCCTTCTTTGAGGAACACAAGGGTTGCAACGATCTTATCTGCGCTTTTACCAATCGTAGTAGTTCAAGCATTCTTTCATATGGCTACTTCCTCCTTTGCCCTCCCAATCTCTCCCACCTTACCCACTATTCAAAAGTCGACCCTTGGTTGAGCCAAGTGTTCTTTCTGATCCTGTCAGCAGATATAACCAGTTTGGATTTAGTTGTTTGAGCCTCGACGGATAATCTCCTACAGATCTTGGCAAACCATGATCGTCGTTTGTTTGTTGCACAATAACTGCCTTCCAGAGATGAGCTACAAGGATAAGACGGATTTGGACAAAGAAACCGCACTTCGGGCGTTCTGAGCTACATTGACATCGCGTGGTCTTGAGTGAAACATGATAGCTATACTATATCCCTGTACAACAACTGAATTACCTGTTAAGAAATTAGTCGGTGGCGATCTCTGGTGATCCCTTGCAATCTGGAACACATTTAATTTTGTTGACATACAAGATGAGAAAGACTGGATGCAAACAATTGAAGACTGGTCAAAGGGCGCTGTTACGCGTCAGGAGGATTAATTATAGAAACTTCAGGAGAGCAGATTAGCACCTGCCGTGCATATCTTTTGTTCCAAACTTCTTTGAAGTTACTTACTAATTGGAACACAGCTAGAATCTGCTAGTGTGGAAATGATTTCCCCTTGATGAACACTTGTTCCGTGCATGTTTACTGGAGGCGCGCATTCCTCTGCAGCTCCAGCATGCCGGAATCCATTCCAACAGGGCGATCGACTCCTCGGCATTGGAGGGCTCGACCACTCGAGCAGCTCCTACTCCACCGAACTACTCAGTAAAGAATCCCATTGAACAAGGTTCAATTGAGAGTGGAGGGAGGGGGGGTTCTTTCCCGGATACCCACACAAGCTCTGGGTCTAATTCATAGGGTAGTATCATGATTCATGACGCTTACATTCGGTACGTCATTTCGCCGTGATGGGTGCTTCCCGTTGAGGAACGGCCCTGCTCCAACTAAGAAACGCGCATGGGCTGCGCGTACAAGCCGGCCAGTAGCTGCTTCCATTGTTAACGATCATCTCTCGCCATCATTGGTGTGCATTGGAGGGTACCTCTCTGGGGTCCTCGTATGACTGTCCTGCTGATACTACACACCCTGTTTCTGGTATAGTAAGGGTTGCATTCTACCAAGTGGCTAATGGGAACATCCGAGCATTCTCTCTGTCAATGAATGTGGGCAAGCCCTTGAGGTATCCAATCAGCCACCCAGTTTTTCAACCTCTGTGGTTGGTCGGAGCAGTGTACTCAGGCATTCATGTCAAGCAATGGGCCCAGGGTGGACCATATGGAGAGCTTCCCATCATCCCCCCTCTGGGGCATTCCTTACCCATCCTTAGAGCAATTGGAATGTGTGTAGAATCCCAGAGGCTGGGTCCCCGGCGCAACGATTCAAATACAGGCCTCTGTCTGTTGTTTGTTTTCTTTGTCTTCTTTGCATCTTCTGCAGTGTTTTCTTTGATTGTCAAACCATCAAACCACTCCTACACACCAAACATTCCAACATCGGTCGCTGCAAAGAATCGAAGCTCTTGGACGGATCGCCGGCTAAGGATCCGCAGTTCCCTTCGACCCAGAGTATACGCGGGTCGCCAATCAGATTGGACCCTGCCCACCAATTTGTTGGTAAACGTTCTCTTTGACAGCTGAGGTTGGAACCACCGTCGCCGCAAACGGAAAGGGAATATCCGACAAGATGTTTGCACAACCTTTCGACCATTCGTTCAACAACGATGATTTATTCAGTCAGTACGTCAATATTGATGGCTCGAGTACCGACGGCAACAAAGACGTTTCATTCCCTGGCGACTTTGATCAATTCTTTTCGCTGGACTCATTGTCAAGTAATTGTGGCGAGCAGTCACCCATCATCTCCACTTCCAAACAACAAACCCATCCTTCACCACAGTGGGCGAAGGATCTCTGGAGCCTACCGCCAGATGCACCCTCATCTCTAGGCCAAGCCCCCCTTGCATTTCAAGACACCATTCATCCCTCTGCTGTTTCGGATCTAAACGTCAACCTTGAAGCTTCTTCGACGACTCGCCCTGCAGAGACCCGCTCTTCGCCGACAACTCCTCCGGGAACTCCACGCCGTAAACCAAAAAGTGCATTAGTCACTCCGAAGTCTATCCAACGTCACCGCGAACCTAATGGTCGTCGTGGTTTGCAGCACAAACAAAGCTTCTCCCCCAGCTTGACACGTCCTTCTCAATTCCAGAAAGGAAGAATGGCGTATCAAGAAGCTTGGGCGCACCGACTTCAGAACTTGAATTTCCTCCGTAGTGCTGATGACCGATTCCCACTGTCGCCGCCGCCGTCAGATATCCTGCCACAACAAGAGAACATAGCGGCCGATAATAGCGCCGTACACATCCATCATTCGGGAGACTCCGGAGAGATGCATCATCACTTTGACTCTAGCATATTCACCCCATCTCCCGCGATCTCCATGCCGTCGCCATGTACAGGAGTGCTATCAAGACAGCAAGCCCGGTATTTAAGCCACTCCAATAACTCCACGGTGACTTCGAGCCCCCCTTCAGCGGACGACATCTTTCCCTCCCCGCATTCCTCGGATCCCCAATCCATGTCCTCCTGGCATTCCGATGCGCTCGGCACTCCCGGGCTGCCTTTCACGCCTGATCTTCAGAGCCACGATGCTCAGGCCTGGTGGCCTCCCATGAATTCTCGGGTGCCCCAACGCCAACATTCCTATCAACAAGTAGTCGCATCGCCCCCTCCACAGCAGCCGATCCAGAACACCACCCATCAGCATGATTTGGCCAATAATCAACATGACATCCTGCAAGGGGGTCTTATGATCCAGATGGATCCCTCTGCGTATGACATGACCGCTCCTGCCAATTCATCGTTTTCCTCCTCCACCATGGCTCCGGCGGCGTCCAATTGTCAGGAGAACCACACTTATAGCCACGTGCCTATCGCTCATCCTAAATATGTTGACACATCTTCCTTTGCAACTCCTCAGCTTCATCAATCGCGGTCACCATCCCTGTCTCCGCGAGCAGATCGATCCCCCAAGAACGGATTAGCCATGCATCACAGCATCACCATGAAAGCTCAGCGCCGTCAGCCCGGCCGGAAGATTTCCTCTAACTCAATGAATGTCCCTAAACCCGTCAAGGGCCTTCATGGATCGGGAAGCCCCAAGGGAGCCGGCAAGTCAGTAACTGTATCATTTGTAAACTTTACGCCAAATGATAGTCAAAAGATTCTCACAGGAGTTGCTCCCAGTGGCAGCTCCAAAACCAAAGCGCGTCGGGAGCAAGAGGCCCGTGACCGGCGCCGCAGGATTAGCGAAGCCGCACTTAATGCAGTACGGAAAGCCGGTGGAGATGTGGAGGCTCTCGAGGCTGTGATGTATTAAAAAACTGGAGGTAATGCCGTTGGTCTGTTTGACTTTTTGTTTTATTTCTGCCATATACCTTTTGCCCTTATATTACCTTCATATTCAGTGTTTTCAGTTGGTCTGTTCGGTGTTCTGATGGGTCCGGAGTCTAAAACACTGAGAGAGGATCTGTTTGAGCGTTAGATTTGTTCCTGGCATCTTAATCAGCCCCCCCGGGCCGTCGTACCTAAACCTAATCTGGCATAACTAATGTATTCCACCTTGATGTACATATCGAGTCTCCAAAAGTACTCCAAATGCCATACCTCTTTAATATATAGTTCTGGTCTTCCCATTGGTTTAAGTCTTCTTTGTTAGTTGATTAGTATATCATATTGAAACAAATATCATGTGAGAGTCACAAATGCCATGACGCACACCAATATGTAAGAAATCCCTTCTAGGTCGCATAACTATTATACACAGTTTCAACCCCACTCTAAACGAGGGCCATAGATCTCATAAAATACATATCTAAAGTACAAATATCCAGTTCAAACTCCAGTATTTAATATGAAGTATCAAGCCACTCGGACAAGACCAGCATGTCATGAACCAAGAATGGCCCTGAGCCCATCCTTTCCCTCAAATCACCAGACGATATAGCGCAGTCACGGCCCCAAATTTCTCCGACGGGAGGAAAGCGCAATACAGTTTTGAAACCAAATCTATCTGATAATTCCCGAGCCGTCACAAGCCACAAAGTAACCAGGCCTCAAATTGACAGCGGCCAATCGCGACAGTTCGAACGGAATTCTTCAAACGGCGCGTGTAATCTACCGACGAGATAGAGATCGACATTTCTTAATTTCTATCCCGTCATTCAACCTCATCTCTGAGACGGCTTCGGTGTCCAGGATTGCGGCTGCCAGTCCTGGCTAGGGGCCCCTCGGGCTGCAGACCAGGGGTCCTTTTTAGCGGCTGGTGTCTCGACATGGTCCGTTTCTTTGGGTTCGGGTGTAGGGGCAGTATTTCCATGTGTGTTGTTGCCCTCCGTGGATGTATTCATGGTCGCATCTGTTGCTTGGGTTACTGGTTCTGGTTGTTTGGTCTGTGGCATGTCGAGGTAGGAGGGCTTGCTGGCCCAGCGCTCATCGGCTAGTCGGGCCAGTTGCTTAATTTGAATCTGGCGGAGGACGTCTTGTTGTTGTTCTTGGACGGAGGGGGGTTCGGCTCGGACGTAGCGGAGCCATTGGTGCCATTGTGCTGGAATACCATTTTGTCAGTTCATGAAGGATTTTCTGGCGTACCTTGCGAGGGCAAATGAGAGTGGAGCAGAGTAAAGTAGATAGAAAAAAGAAGGATATTACTTACGGCTCACTTGGACATCCGCATAATGGGTTTTAGGATTGAACTTGACAATCCGTCGGTATCGCGCAGCATTCAAAGCATCTTTAAATTCCCAGAATGTGTTTCCGGAGAGATCCGTTCCTATTACAAAGACATCTGACTGAGACATTGCGGATAACTAGGTAACAACATTTGACGTTGAACATACCGACGAGGAAGGATTTTCGCCACGGTAATCGAAGGCTCTTCCACTTGAACCACAGACTATTTACCGGACTCATTTCGAGGCCGATCGAGAAGAGAAATCAGGCGGCTATGAATGGTAAGAAAATAAAATAAAAATTGGGGAAGCTGAAGCAGCGTCATCCACCTTGACGTGAACTTGGGGGGGGGGGGGCTTAGACTACTAGACTTGGGCACCGAAGGGGATTCATTGAACGACGGACGTCATCGGGTAAGGCAGGGCTGTGATAGGTCACGGTATTGGCGGCTTACTACTAGTAGTCGATCTACAGGAGACAGAAGGACAACAGCATTCCATTCCATTCCCTACCCGGTTGCTTATGAACAAGTATACTAATTGTTCTATTCTATATCAATTCACTATTCTCATATGGTTCCCCCTTTTTTTCTTTTCTACTGTTCTTCCCCTTTAACTTGAACACTACTCTGTATATAACCCACCGAACTATTCGATTCTAGATCCATTCAATTTTGCCTCTTTTCTATATCAGGAGCACCGCCTCCTATTCCGCCCCCTTGGTTCCCGTACCACGGTTCATGCCAACTGCTGGCAGCATTAAACAGTCAATTCCATCTGTCGGTCGTAGTGAGAAAGAAGCCTAACGACTACTCACGACAGACCGATCGTTTGAATTATCCGAATCTCAAACATGGCTTCTGTTACGTCACTGGATAAGGATTTGCGCAGTCTGCGCCTGTCCCGCTATACCCCGCAGGCTGCCGCAGAAGTCCGCAACTGGATTGAAGAAGTCCTCCATGAAAGACTACCAGCAGGAGATCTTCTAGATGCGCTCAAAGATGGCGTCGCACTGTGCCGGTAAGCTGAATAATTACGTTCCTTGCATACTCCAACCGCAATTTGACGTACTAACATAGCCCTAGGCTGGTCAACCTTGCCGTTTCCCCCGGCGTCAAGTATAAGCAGGCATCGATGCCCTTCGTGCAAATGGAAAACATCTCACACTTCCTTCGCGCGTGTCAAATCCCACCCCTGAGCCTTCCTCCGCATGATGTTTTCCTCACTGTCGACCTTTATGAGGCCAAGGATCCAGCACAGGTCTTGCAGTGTCTGGTGGCCTTCAGTAGGAGAGCCAATGCTCTCCAACCCGGCAAATTCCCCCGTTCCATTGGTCCTCAAAGCAAAGTGGGTGCTTTAAGCCCCAATGCGACCGGTTCCAGTCAAGGCGCCCATACACCATCTCGGCCACGGGGACTCAGCAATGCGAACTCCAGTGCCTCTGGATACTCAAGCCCGGCCAAATCTCCAGGCCCGGTGAGCAGTTGGAGCAAAAGAAGGGATGAGCATACGACAATGCCAGCATGGAACATCCACCAATACGGCTATATGGGCGGCGCCAGTCAAGCCAACCAAGGTGTGGCGTTTGGTGCTCGACGACAGATTACGACCGCGGCACCAAATGTACCGAGTCTGGCCGAAAAAGAGAAGCGTAGGCGTGAAGAAGAAGAACGCCAGCGCTTGGAGTTCGAGGAGTCAGAGCGCAGACGTCAACAAGAGCGAGAGGCAGAAGAAGCGCTTGCGCGGGCAGAAGAGGAGCGTCGATGGGAGGAGGAAACTGCCCGTCTAAAGGAGCAAGAGCGACGCAAGCTTGAGGAAGAGCGAAAGAAATGGAATGATCAACAGCGCCAGTGGGAAGAGGAGGAGGAGCAGCGTCAGCGCGAGGAGAGAGAAGCCGATGAGAGACTGGAGAAGGAGAGACTGCGCCGTCGGGAAGTCAATGATACCCGCCTGAATGGACAGTTCCTCAGTCAATACCAAGCGAGTCAAGCTGGACCAGTCCAAGCCCCTGCCGAATCCTCAGAGAGCCGGCGCATAAAGGAACTCGAGCGAGAGTTAGAGACCGCAAAGCAAAGGGAAGCGGAATATCAGCGCGAGCGTCAGGAGCTGCAAGAAAAACAAGTCGCACCTGCTGCGACTCGTGCACCTCGCCCAGTACCTGTGCCTCCTAAGCCGAGCTACGATCTGTCCTCGCTCGAGTCAGAACGCCGTCTACTTCGCACGGAATGGAGCAAACATCAGAACGAAGAACCAATTGCTGAATCGGTCAGCCCCCTTCCTTCCCTACCACCCCGGCCACTCCCAGAACCGGCCGCTGCTTCACCTCGGCCTCTTCCGGACCCAACGCTCTATGCCTCAAAACCCACGAACCAAGAAAGTCGCGTAGACCGTTTCCTTGCATCCAATCGGCCTCCCGTTGCACCCAAGCCAGTCACTCATCGCCCACAAGACTACACAACGACTGCCGAGGTCGACGCGGAAAATAGCCGCCGTGCAGCAGCACAGCAAAAGACCAAAGCGGGCGGATGGGCCTCCAAGTCGTTGCTCGAACGTGAAATGGAGCGCGAGCGCGAGCGCCAGCGTGAGTGGGAAGAGAACCAAAAGCAAACACAACAGGCCGCTGCAAAAGGCATGAAAGATGGTAATCTCGGTGTTGGACCAGGACAAGGAGCCTGGGATGTGCACCAATACGGCTTTATGGGTGGTGACAACCAGAACCGGGGCGGTCCTGGCCTGGGAGTTGGAGGTGCAAGGAGACAGATCATTGGCCCTCGTCCTCCTCCGTGATCAGATATGTTGAAGTCCGGGTAGTGGTGTTCTAGTCAAATCTTTTATACCTATTTGTGTTTGCCCGATGATGGTCGTTATTCGTGTTTTAGAGTTTGATTCCAATATTGTTCCAAGATCTTGGTGGCTAGCTGTAGAAAAACCATGAGCAATTTGAATAATTCATTTAAACAAGATATAAAAGTGCTAGACCACATCAGCAACGAAAGGCACCGGTAACATGCTAAACGCACACAGATAATAAGGGTATCTATACGCCAAACTCGAGCAGTCAAGAAACAGAATCCGCCACAACGATTCCCCTCATCAAACCAACCCCAAGATACGCAACCAAATCACTCAATCCGAATCCTCTCCACGCGGAAGAACCTCCTCAGCAAGAAACCTCAGCCGCTCTCCACTCTCAAGCAACCAGCACCACTCCGCATCTTCCGTTTTGCGCGCACTTGCGCTCTTCTTGGTCTCCATTTGGGCCTTCTCCGCGCGGCGCTGGATACCCTCTTCTACCGCTTCTTGCAGCTCCGTAGTTACTTTTAGCATGTCGCTGTTCGCGAGCAGGATCAGTAGTGTCTCGAGAAGGATTGACATCTTGGTATTATCCACTACGCTGCTCGTACTTGCCGCGTAGGGGAGGAAACATTCCTCGAGCTTTGCTTGGTTGAGATACTCTTCGTCTGTGTCTGGGGCTGCGCTTTCGCGAATGCGGAAGAGCAGGTATTCGCAGAGGGTTGTACGCGCCTCTAAGGAGAAGTAGGGTAGTGTTGACGGGGCGATGAGAGCCTGGAAGACGGGGAGGGGGAGATGGCGGATGTTTTCGACGAAGAGGTGATAGAGTTCCTCTAAGGGGGTGAAGGCGTCGGGGAGAGCCTCCGCGACGCCGGAGAGGAGGTGGAGGAGACGTTGGCGGAGGGCTAGGGATTGGAAGCCGCCGTGTGAGGAGACGTCGCTGAGGGCGTAGACTGCTGATTTAGTATCGACAGCGTCGGCTGATTTGGCGTCTTTGGCGCGGGTACCTCGTCGGGGTCGTTTGGTTTGTCGGGTTGGTCGTTTTGAGGCCGTGTCTGGGTCATTCTTGGTATTGTTGTCGGAGGAGTCGTCGTCGTCGTCGGTTAGGTAGTCTCCATATTGTTCTTCGTCGATATTGACTTGGACTTCCCGTTTCTTGGTGTTCTTGTCTTGCTTGGGCTTTTTCAGCTCGTGGTGGAAGATCTCGCGGAATTCGTTCGAAGCGGACGAGCCCCCGTCTGCGAAGATCGCGCGGAGGATCCGTCGGTTGCGGCCGTATCCTGCTGTTGTCTCGGTGATGTAGCGAAATATCAGGCTATCTTTGAGGGCTTTGTCGTCTGTGTTTGAGGTGCGATCATGCATTCTTTTGCGTTCGTTCCAGTCGTCTTCAAGCACTTCGCACATGTATTCGAGCCAGATTTGCCATTTCTCCCACCGTTCGTGGTGGAGCACGGAACAGTTGAACGCCCATCCGACTGCGTGCCAGAAGTCCTCTGCGCGGGACCATAGGGAGGCAGACTGGGCCAGGTCGAGGTTCAGCGGCTTTGTATCATCGTCGGCAGGTTGCTCGTCTTCGGCGCGCCGGCGGCGCCCATGGCGGGAAGCTTCGAAGTGGGTGAAGGAAAACGCGGTGCCGAGTTTGGCGGATACTGGTCCGGCGAGAGTGTTTGCGAGGCGGAGGAGTCGCAGGGAGACATTGGAGGCTTCTTCTTGTTCTGCGGTTTTCGCCCGGGTGGTGGTTGAGGGGTGGACGAGGAATGTAGCGGCGAGGGCAAGATGCTGGGGGGACGGGACGTAGACTGGCGCTGGAAGGATTGTGCCCGTGGTGATGATGTTTAGGAGTAGGTTTAGAGCTTGCGTGTCTGGTTAACGGATGCCGCGGTCAGTTTGATGATCAAGTGAATTGCGGGGAGTGAGGGGAGGCGGACAGAGCTTCTCTTCAAAGAAAATGCCTACATGTTGGACCAATTCAAAGGGAAGAGTCCTGGCAGTACGGTAGAGAGGCGGGGGCGCCTCTTCGTCTGCCACTGCCATTGACTTGGGTGTTCGCTCGTCGACTGAGAGAGTTAATGGTGTAGAAGGCTGAGAGTCGCGGTGTCGCGACTCTTATCGATATGCGACCACCACGTGTAATAATGAATACCCTGGTCATAGTCATCGTCATGGTCATTGATCCATGGGTTGTGTTTCGCAATTGATATGGATATCATTCTACCAATTGTATACGAAGTTTCAAGCAATCTGGCTTACATGTTAAGTGAAACAGACCTTCGTTATCTGATCTACACAGTATATTACCACTCTTTGGTGTGAAGTATTTATTATATAGTTTTACTATATAATCCAAATAAAAGAGCAATAAATCACCAATTCAAGGTGCTGTAGTATAGTGGTCAGTACAGCTCGTTGTGGTCCTCCACAGCCCCGAGCAGACCTGGGTTCGATTCCCAGCAGCGCCAATGGCGCTTGAAACTTGATTGGTCCTTCTTTTTTGCATTTCTTGAATGCTCGCTACTAGTATTTTATCTAACCCCCCCCCTTTTTTTTTCTCTCTCTTCTGCATATACAAAAGATGGATAGGGGTGAGTGATTTTACACTTTGCAGCCCCTATAATGATAACCCTAATCTTGCTGCTTCAGTCGATCAGATGGAGTGGATCATTTCTTAATTTCTTGTGTAGTTTGGTGTGACAAGGATCTTTCTGGTCTACCTCTATATTGTAACCGAGAGAGATATATATCTATAAATGCCTTTTTTGTTCTGAGGAAGTCAACACTGCCTTTCACCGTATATAGTTTGGTGATCCCCCTTACCTGTACTACCCGACACAGCACAGTCGTGTAATTACCAACAATAACCCCAATATTTCATACAGACCTGTACACGCCATACTCCGTACATAACGAGGCCCAGTCCCGCCCATCAACCCCACAGCCCGAAGATGAGCCCCGGTCTACATACGTATGTCCAGCTAACTAAAAAAAAAATTCCCAACCCGTAATCAATATAGGTGGCCCCTAATCGAAACCGTAGATAGGTGTTTGTAGTATCGCCGAAGACGCTATGGTAATCTAAAACCATCTCTAACGTACCACTTCTAGGCAGACGAACCTCCGTAACCACAAGCCGAGGTTCCTGTACAAACCCAATTAGTATCCAATATAGGGTTGATTGCTCTATCCCTCATGTGACCCAACAGAGCTGCATGATCTAGATTAACCCTAATGCAGTAGATGTAATATCCGCCCAAAATGGCATAAGCCAAGACATCAGTCTCAAAAATCGTGCAAAGACTAGTCTTACGTAAAGCCCATTCTGACCAAGCTGTTGCGTACGGGTGCAAGTGGTAGAATGTGTAGGCTGTGAGGCCAGTTACCAGGAGTATGTTTCATAGATTTAACCCCATATACACCGTAAGATGCAAACAGCAAATACCCTTAGTCTAGACACGTGGTTTCAAGAGCCAGAACAGCTGGTTCCTGTCTTCTATCAAAAGATTTCCGCGACCCCATATTCTATTATTTTTTTTCGACATTTTTGGTTCTTTTGTCCCTTTTCACTTTTGGTGCCTCCTGTACTCCATGCTACCACTCCATCCCGCTTTCCAGCAAACAAAAGTATTCGACAGGGTAGAATAGCAGAGTTCCGGCCAATTTCAGGTCCGGGGGGATAGCCCCTGAACCATGAAACAATTATTACAAGACAGAGAAAGGAAGGATATTGGGTGCCAAGTGGAGAATATTATCAAGAAAAAAAAGAAAAGACAAAGCAAATAGAGAAGGAAGAGAACAGAAATATCTACTCCTCTGGTTCGGGAGAGAAGAGACCTATCCGCAGTCGGTGGGACTGTGGCCAAGTTAGTAAGACATGGGTATAGATATTGTCGGGCCAAGGGGTACGTACAAATGGAAGCTTCGGGATGACCACTCCCAGAGTAGCTAGGAAGTTGATGGTGAAATACGTCAAGTCGTAATGGGTATAATGCGTGCTGAGAAGGAAAAGACAGATCGGCACGCATAGCAAGAACTTCTTCGTCGGGGTGTATTGATCTCCGTTATCAATTTGCTCCCACATGTTGAGATTATCATAGGCACCCGCGTTGAATTCGAAAGGGATGCCCCGCACCCAATGGAACATAAGAAACGAGCCGAACATGTAGCTGATATTGGTCAGGGTCCATGAGGTTTCCTGCGAGACCCCGGGAATGATGTCGTAGAAGATCTTCAAGGCAACAATTAAAACGAAATGAATGGTCCAGGCACCTGTCATGAGCAGTCTCCGGTTAGCTCCCCGGACACCACAATATGCATGGAGGACATGTCGATGCACTCACCCTTTGCATTGACCCAGTTCGCATTTAGATTGGGCAAGGCGGCCTGGTCGCTGGTGCGCTCAATGGATTCCGGTGGCTCCTGATAAATGATGCTGCTTGACCGTCTCCTCCGTCCACCCTTATTCTGGGACATGCTGGAATCCGGACTCAATCGTTGCGGTTGAGTATCCACCCCCGGGGGGAAGGAAATGGTACGGGGAACTGCGAGGGAAGACACTTTGGCGGTATTGAACGGGGGTAGACCGTGGGATCGAGGAAAGGTGATGGGGGAAAAGAAGACGAAGAGGAGGATTGGGAGAGGATCGGAAAAAAGAGCGGCCAAGACAGTCCCAGATCTGGTGGAATCACACCTGTAGCTAATACGTAAGTAGGTTGTTTGCTAATGCAGAAGTAGCAGAGGATCTGATCCGTCCTTCAGTTCACTTCCGACCGTCAGATTGGATGATCGGCAGCTGTTTGGGTCACGGGATGTTCACCAATCCGAGGGGGGCAAAAAATGGATGGATGAATTTGGGGGTATTTTTAGGCAAAACGTAAATTCAGTGTCACAAAAAAAAATGTTGTTGTAACCAAAAGCCGCGGCAATTATATTTAGGGATTCATGAACACAAGGGTAGGCTCCTGTTGAAGAGACTCAATACAAGAGCAAACACCAAGAATAAAAATTGAAAAGAGTTGGGGGATATAAAGATATATAAAAGTAGGATATTCAATGTCCGAACAAAGAGGGGGCAAAAGGGAATAAAAGACAACAATAATACCAATACTAAGGTAAGGTACGGAATAAACCCCTACTAATAATAGTCCGAAACGGTCCAGAAGCAACCGTAGAACAAATGAATAAGTTAGTTTTGATCTATCTTTCTTCTCACTAAATATTTATAGAATGATCGAGACTTTGTAGTAGTTTAATATCTGCAACTTGCGTACACCGGTTTGTTCTAGACAAGCAATCTGTATGTCAACCAGCAGCTGAACTGTTCATAATGGTTTTCCTTGATGAAACGTTATATTTATTTTTTTTCTTTATATACGGATATTAACACCACCACACCCTATGGGATCGATAGACTCTTGATATTGCCGATAGTGTTGGATATTCTCCATACACAAGTACAAGAGTGATAAAACTAGTAGCTACGCGAGTACTAAACATGCACCATGTACTGCCGGGCGGAAGTTCTTCTATCCGACACTGCACCGATGGTCACTATCAACCACCGTAAATTTTAAGAAACTAACACTCCACACCAGAGAATCCTTCCCCATTTCACGCGTTTCCTAGCACTCCGGAGTAACCTTTTCTATCCTTTAGCTCATGATCACAGTATGCCTGACTCACCAGGTGACGATAATAACGATTCTAGAACAGCCTCAGTTGGTGCGCAACGCAATCGCGCCACTAGCACCAATGGCTCGCGACAGAGCTCCATAGACAGCAGCAATTCGCACCCCAAGAAAAGACAACGAAGAAATGGAAAGGTGGGGCCTACAGATGCACGCGACTTTGTCCCTCAAGGTGCCACCTTCAGCGCAAATACATTGGAGGTCGACCCGGATAGTACGTCGAGCTCTGGCTCCTCAGGTAGCGACGATGAATCCAATTCCTCGGATGATGGAAACGAGGCTTCTTCCCAGGCTGGGCCCCAACCCGCAGTGGCTCCTAATTGGAATAAGGCCAGTAAAAGTACCATCAGGACTTCATTGAACAAACGGGGAACCAAGGCAAATGAGGGCCAACAGGATTCTCGGTTTGATGCGGTCAATGATAAATACTGGCGCAGTCGCAGCGAATCTGTTTCGACTGGCGGCGCCAACGACAATGTGTCACAGACCAACAGTGATGGTGCTTCTGAAGAAGGAGAAGTACAGGAAGATGATTCATCTGACTCCAGTCGAATGCATCTATCAGGGGACTCCGATGACTCGTCTCTGGATTCAGAGGCCGATGACTCGATACTATTGAATATCAATTCCCGTGGTCAGACACAGAGTGCTAACCAGAAACAAAATGGGGGGCTGTCGCTGCACGACGATGATTACGATCCAGAGTCTCTTCCGGTTTCTCAAAGTATTACCAATGGACACGCCTTTGACGGGGCCGCAGATGGTTCTCCGACGACGTCGAAGGAGGCAGCATTCCGCTTCTTCGCCCAAAAATACCCCACTAATCCCGAGACACTTGCTGATCTTAAGCGTGAAGATATGGAAGCCCAGGCGAAGTATATCTTCTACGATCGAGAGATTAATGACATAAACTTGCAATTACCAGTAGCCTGCACTGAATGCATGCGGGAGGGCCATCTTGCTGAAGTGTGTCCATACAAAGAGGTGCGTTCTGAAACTTGCCAACCCGCTTCGTCAGAAGGGTTTGTTACATTGCATCGGAGATAGTAGGTACTGATTGCTTAAATAGTGTGTGCATTGCGGTGCTTGGGATCAGCATCAGAGCAGTTTCTGTCCTTCGTGGAGAAGATGTCAGAAGTGCCGAGAGCGTGGCCACGATCAGCGAAATTGCCCTTCGCTCCTGAAAGGCTCCGCATCTGAGATTCCCTGTGATCTGTGCGGATCTTCGGCTCATTTGGAGCTCGAGTGTGATTTCATGTGGAAAGCTCATCGGCAAGAGCCGCCGGCCGGGCCCGTGCTTGTATCCATATCTTGCTCTCATTGTACCAGTAGCCATCATTTGGTCGGTGACTGCCCATCTCTTCCACAGCCTTTGAAATCTTCGTCCTGGACGTTAAGAGGGATTGATCCGAATATGGTCACGAATATCAATTCCGTAGTCAACGGTAGGAGCGGAGGACCTTCGTCTAGAGGTCGAGGTGGAATGAAAATTAGGGGCCGTGCGGATGCACACTCCTCCCCGGATGACAGCGATGACTTGATGACCAGACGACGGCCCGTCGGTCGTGGTGGAAACCGCGGCAATATCCGGATCGGTAGTGGAATTGGGAAGAACAAGAACCTAGCGCCGGCCGGCTCGCGAGGTCCAGATATGGATTCTCGTCAGTTTTATAGAGATCGTCAGGATTTCCATTCAGGCAACGGACGCCAACGCTCTTTGTCCCCCAACCCTCGCCGCGGAAGAGGCAAGGATAGCTGGCAACCTGCACCTCGTTCGCCCCCACGAGGCCAGTCTAGACCGCCTCCTCGTGGAGGAAGAGGCGGTGGTCGGGGGCGTGGCGGACGTGGCAATGGTAACAAACGAGGGGGTAATGGCGACGCTTATCGCCCAATGCCGAGTGCCGCTAAAAAGGCTTGGGATAAGTACAGACTCTGATCTATGAATAACTAATCCAACACAGGTGGTTGCTCGGCTGGTTGTACATACTGCGACCTTCCACTTACGCTTGGTGCCTATAGCAACTTGGTGTATACATGATACCATTGGCTAACATACATATTTACTATGTTGATGGCACTTGTGATGCGCTTCAATGCCATTTGATGCATCCACAGCCTTGTGCCTGACCTTTTGGTCAGGTCTTCATCTACTGAGGCAACTGCGTCTGTACATGATCCAGGACGGATACGAACAGCCCCACGGGCCGTGGCAATGAACAGCAGCATGCCACGTGGAATTACATGAGCTAAGAGGGTTCGGACTATTTGTCTAATCTTGAATTTAGGCATACCGGTGGCTGCCAGGCATCGGTGACGGGGATGTAGTATAAGCCAACCCACTAGTCACTAGTAGGAACCTTGTTGCCAACACGGTTTCCGACAAAACCTCCATCTAGGATGCCGATGAGCTCATCTAACCGCTCAATGCACAGATCCGTATGGGGATGCTCCTTGAGATGAACGTTGTGGTCGTTCAAGAGCAAGACAGTCGCAGCGCCTGCTGTATGGCCAGCAGTCATATCATCGATACTGTCACCAACCTAGCATCATATCAGTTCTCAGAGAAGAGAAAATGACCTGGAATGCAAACAAAAACCTACCATGATTAAATTCTCTCCTCGACTATCCAGTCCCCATTCGTTAGCAATATGCAAAATCCCCGCTGGATCCGGCTTAGGCAATAACCCCGGGGTCTCTCTTGTAATGATTGGCAGAAACACGTGAGCAGGAAGATGATTATCTAGAAGATGCCGTACTGGTGTTCTGCCATAATAGTATTTAACCTTTACCGTTCACTCTACTCCCTTACATCTAGTCTTTGAGGAGGGAAGGGGAATAGGTTTGGGTAAAGCGACTTACTCAAAATTCCGTGTACAAAGTGCCCTCTTGACTCCCCGTTCGTGGAGATAATCCATGAGCTCCACCAGTCCCGGCTGAGGCTCCTGGGTTTGCATGGCCTCTCGCTCGACGGCCTTGATCTTATCTGCGGCTTCAAGCTGTTGCTCGGGGGTTGGGAGACTGCTAATATGGTGCAAGATGTCGATGTCGCTGTTGAGGATCCCAAGAGAATCTCTGTAGAACATTTATTACACATCAACGTAGGATGTAAAACGATATCGGATATCAGTCGCATACCGCATCTTGACAAACATGTGGTTTTGAGGAAGACTGTTTACATATTAGTTGATCAATCAGTCATCCGAGCGAGCTACCGAAACATGGTTCATAGAAAGTATCAAGTACCATAATGTTCCGTCCACGTCGAAAACGATCCCCTTCAACGGTGGGGCACTTGATGTTCCTTTCCTCTCTGGGCTAAGAGGAGCAAATCGTCGCTGGCGAAGTGTGTAATTTTGAACCGAGGCCATGATGCGTCCGAGTTGCGGGAGGAACCGCGGGGTGAACATTCGAATTGGGGGGAGGGGGCACGTTGGAGTGGAGGTTCAAGAGGTTGTTTTGATGTGGTGTGGTTCGACTAAATGGCGGAGATAAGATTGATAAGGTTTTGAAATGCGGAGATTTCCGAAATACTGAAGAGCATCTATACTCAGTTGTTGGGAAATTTGACTAGGCTATCTCTACCTATTCCCTAGCTGTACTAATATATTATCCATACACGGCTATGAAGCTGGAAGCTGTCATATGTTGCTGATTCTTTGTTTCGTATAGGCACTTAGGCCCTTTGTGAACATCTAGGAATCTTGTATGGGCTTGTCTATGTACTTGAAGCAGCATGTGTAACTGCCCTCTGCGGCCTTCGTGTGCGCCATGAAAATGGCTTCTTGAGCAAATCCCCAAAGCGGCTTACCACCTGAAATAGATGTATCCTGCCCTACCGCAATCCATGTCTGGGATTGCTTCGTTTACTATACAACAATAAACACGGCACCGGCTATATTACATTATTATAACCTTGATTGTCTCTCCCTACAATACGTAATATGAATCCTCCTACACGAATCGAACGTGAAATCGTCTCAGACATGTAGTTGATTGTATTTATCTAGATGAGAGGAACAGTTATATCGAAGGTGTTCTATTTCTCTAGAAGCTGAATCCTTCTATTAATGTTGTTATCTCTTTGAATATATCTGTAACGGCCTCTGTGTCGTAAGCTGCAGTGTGATACTCACCCTTGTCTCCGGATCTTCCGTGCCTTGCAAGAAGGCTTCTGTGCACCACGGACAAAGACAGAGAGGGCCAGGCCCTAGGGAGAAGCTTCTTCAGCAGTCTTCCCACGTCAATGTTCTGAAAGCTTGAGCATAAATGGTGGCTTTCTTTAGGAACTATTAGCTCTCGACTTCCTGAGAGCAACCTTTGGAAGCATTGCATATCCTGCTGACTGTACCATGAAATGATACTAATTCTTTCTGCACTGTAGTTCAGCTTATGGACTATTTCGTCCTGGATCTCATCTGGCCTCAATCCATTCGTCATGATGTCACCATAGCAACGTGTAAATAGAAGTTGTACGTGTCTGTCCGTAATTTCCCAACTGTTTAATTTGACAAGGAAATTTTCAAGAGATAGGCCATAGTGAACATTCTCTGCAAACAGTAGTTTGCCGTCAAGCTGCCGAATAGCAAGCTGGAGTGGTATCGGAGACATCCCTCTACCCAGAGTGATGTACTCAAAGTCGATGACCCAGGTATTATGAGGACACCAGTGATAACTTGTCCAGAGAGCTTTGACATCAGTCGTTGCACCATCCGTAAGTTTCAACTCCCATTGTGGCATTGGAAGTTCAGCACCCATAGCCTTCAATGACGACACATATTGGATGATCCTCGATGAGTGGTGCTGGCAATACCCAGAGTATAGTTCCTGTGGTAATGGACAAGTTAGGATCAAGCATTTTTTCTCGCAATCAACCAATGAATAATTTTTGAGGACTGCACGTTGCATTGAAGACCGCTGGTTCAGACGCCTTTTCTTCATATGCCCTCTATTACTATGTTGTATGTCCTCGTCCACCGCTTCTGCATCGGTAGCATCAGCAAAATCCTCCGGTTCAGCGATGGAATCTGTCACATCATGGGCACCATCAATCCCTCTGCCAGGCTCCCGTGATTGAGGCATAGTATATGACGTAGTAGACATGTCTTCTCCGTCTTTCACCATTTTACTGGTGGTGAGATCTTCCATTCCATCAGAATAGGGTTCCTTTAAGCCCTGTGGCCTCACACCCTCGACTAGCTTCTCTGTCAGAGAGTAGAGGTGGTCGCACGGTTGCGGTGTAGGCCGATGTAATGTAAAGTCTCTTAGCCTCAGAAGCTGAAAAGGCTTTCGGGTGGTATCCTTCTTAAAAACAACCCGCGAGCCCCACCGGTGAATGTTGTCCACTAGTAGTTCAATATCCATAAATCTCCCTTGGATAGGACTGTAGAACCTAGAGCACGCATAGTTCGCATGGATTGGAGTCGCATAAAGTGTCCATGTGCAGGTATATCTCCGTGGGCGCCAGCGTTCTTCAGCCCGTAAGAAGAGCGGTTCAACGTCCATCACGTGAAGCACAGTACTATGCTTGAACACCTCGAAGAGTCTTTCGATATTCTTGTAGTACTCTTTTACTTTGAATTCTCGTGGAGATTTTCGGATCCCATGATCAATTGTCCATCCTTGAAGGTATAAGATGTTTGGCCTAGATGCATTCATGGTCTGAGGACCCCACAACGACAATGCCAAGGGCAATAGTAGCTCTTCGTCGCCGAAAGAGAGAAGTACAGCCCACTGAGCCGGGGCTCCGGGATATGGACGATCATAGTCCAGCTCAATGCGCACAGGGAGGGCTGAAGTCACCTAACCGATTCAGTGTCAAATGCAAATCATGGCTCATAGAAGACTTTCAATCTCGTGATTTTGTACTCACCTTATTACTTGAAGTGGTTATGCTTTGGCAAATTAATGCAACACAGTACTTAACTGCATCATAACAGGGTCTAATTGATGCATAGGAGCCCGTGTAACCACCACTTGGCGCTCGTATATCAAATTCGGGAGCAAGTTCGTAAAGTTGCTTATTAACATCGACAACTCTAAGGGTAGAACCCTTCCTTTCACCTGCTTTACTCGTGTATGTACTCTCAGCGTTGATATTCAGCGAAGGTCGCTCGTTTGATTGTAAGCCAGGCACGGTAGGTGGGGGAAGAGGATGGCCTGGGTGGGGAAGGATGTCCTGGCAATGTAAGAAGTTATATGCATCTTGAAATGTATACAGCTTCCCCACTCTCCCCCCTTCAATGCCAACAAAGGGAACGGGGTGTTGGAACGTATGGAGCTAGACGAAACATTGAACAACTGATGTCAATTCTTAAGGAGGTTGCAGACGTACCCTATGATCAGATGCTGTTAAACTCAACGTATCCCTCAGCTGCCTTGGGCTTAGCTGCAGGTAATATGAAAATTTGTGATTGGTGCCGGAGCTCCCATCTACGAATGGAACCTCATCACCAGGTACTGTCTCCCTTGTACCTTCTTGTGGTCCTGCTAGTGTCTTTGCCTGAACCCGAGTACGTCTGTCGGCTCTTTTAGATCCAGGAGGCATGGCGGCTAGCTGGTCCTCTTCTCTCATCCACCGTCTCAACATCGTTTCATTGAGAAAAAGCTTTCGAGACGCTACTTCCGTGGTAATTGGATAGCATCTCGATGTTTCAAGGTTTAGCGACCTGGCCTCCCGGCAATAACGGATCGCGAGAAGCTTCGTTTCTCGTGTATATGTGAAACGTCTTGGCCGAACCATCCTGTTTGCAGCTCTCTGGCTACCTATGCACTTGAGCGATCGGTGTTGTTCCTCTGTGAGGGGCTCAACTAATGCAGGGGTGCCGTCCTGGTAGCCCGGTCGAACTCGCGAACGCCCCCAGCCCTGACTCGACTTGCACGATGAATCCAGCCTACTATCTGTGCTGTTTTCCATGGGTTGTTGATTCTGTTCAGTGGTATGATTCTTGTGGGCAATGGATGTCATGGCTGCCTAGCTTGACTGTCTTATGTTCCTATGATTGGCATATCCTTGAGTAAAAACTGGAGATATGAGGAAACGACGATTTACCGCAGGGTTGGGGAGTTTAAAAGTAAAAAATTAATAAGGAAATAAGCGGTGCTGGCGTTGGGGACAATGAGAGTCTATGTTTGAAAGGTAGAACTAGTCAACTGAATTCCCTCAGAGACAATTCACTTAGCAGTCAAATATGATTCACTTGACAATGAATATTGAGATCTAAGTTCAATAAGGAAACTCAGCTATCACCTTAGAAATGGATCTGGTGCTATTGCATGATTTACAAGACATTTCAACTAGAAATGGTGGATAAACGTATTTCATAGGGATTGTGCCTGTTTCAGAATTAAAGATCTCATGAAGGCCTGCTTGCGCGTGTAGTTTTGCCCGAAGCCCTGGCCATATCTCTTGCGATCTTTGCCAGGAGAACCACATTTGTAGTTGTCCGGGATGTCCAATAGACACTCATAATCGTCCGCTGCAAGCTCCTCTCCATCTCGTATGGTCATAACTTTGTCAGTCATGATTTCCCATAGCTTTGCATTCGTGCCATTATAGAAAAATCCATTTTGAGGACAGAAAGAATGGCGAACTGTGGCTGTCGACCAAATTCGATGAAGTTGATCATCAGAAATGTCACAATACTGCCAAACGTTGTCATCAGTAAATAGTAAGTTTCCGTCAAAGGTATGAGAGTTGTTGCCATGGTTAGTGCGAACCACTCTTGGGAACGATATTTCGACGGTTGGGGGCGATGTAAAAGAAGGCTCTGCGATTATGGGGTCATATGTATAGGGAAATTCGTAAGTTTGATACATCCTATATTCAGGGCCCTGTCTTGGGTCAGTGCCAAAGGCTACAAGGGCGTGTCTCCAGGCCCCATTTGTGAATGAGTAGCCACAATAAGGGAGGGCTTCGAATAGACTCAAAAGATCTGGGGCTCGAGTGAGATTCTTCAAAACCCTGGGGGTAGCGACTGCCCGTCTGCGCATCACGAGTTTGATGTCACGTAGCAATGCTCGCGTGTCGTGCGAGAGAGAGGTTTCGGATGGTAAGGAAGCCAGTGGCTCGTTTGGGACTTCGGTTGATTCTATGGATATTCTCAACTTGAGTTGTGCATTAGAGCAAGACTTGGTGTCTATGGGGGAGAGGGAGAGGGTTACAATTTTCCCTTGACACTCCTGTCGCTGGACTGAGATGAACCGGTCTTGGGGAGGTATATGATTATCCGGCTCATATGTTTCCTTATTCACACCATTACCCTCTTCCAATCGGGTTGCCATACTTGCAGTTCTAGGATGAACTCCCAAAAGATGGCAGATGTGATACTCGATGCTATTTCAAAGATGGGATCACTTGCCAGTGACATTCAAGTGCAGTGAATGATTAACCTCGATATCTTCAAGCGTAGGGAGACAGATACAGGTCGGCCATATGGGCTGGAGATAGTGTGCTGGCCGGTGGATGAGAACCAGGTGAACGTGAGAAGCGGAGATATAATCTTCATTATTGGTAGGTAAGACTGTATGAGAGTGAATGCGGTTTCTAAATATATACGAGGCGGTTGGCTTTCACATAAACAAAGAGAGGTGGTATATCTTGGTAAATTCGCCAACAATGGGCTTCGAGGGATGATTTTTCGGCTGTCAAGGATAATCCATCGATACCTTCACTGTACTTACCCATAGGTTTTCTAGGATTTAGAGGATATTTGAGAGGCTCCAGGTAAGCGTTTATAGCTACAACAATTTAGAGGGAATCTTTGAGGGTCGCAGGAATTTGAACAATGCCTTAAGAGCTTCAGTCTTTGGCTGCAATAGCCTGTAGGAATAAGTAGCATTCTCATAGCCGTAGACGAGGTAGGTGGTCGCTACTTGTAGTGTCCTTCCTTGGTGTGTTAACATGGACTGTATCTCAATGCAAAAAGGGAAGATAAAGTAACAATACGGCAAGATGACCGAGTGGTTAAGGTAAATTTGCACTTCCCTACAATGATCAAACAACCAATCATCTAACAGTCCCTATCAGGTGTATGACTCAAGCTACAGCTTGTCCTAGAACAACTAGGGTTACTTCATATGTCGCAAGACGCGTGGGTTCGAATCCCACTCTTGTCAATTCTTTTTTACAATCTTCAAGATTGAGAAGATCTATGAATAGATAACCTAATTTGAGTGACTTAGTCATCAACACGGCAAGATGACCGAGTGGTTAAGGTGTAAGTACTGTGTGATCTACATAGTCCATCGACCAATAATCTAACATTACCTCATCAGGTATGACTCAAGCTATAGCTTGCTCTAGAAAATAGAGTGCCTTCATATGTCGCAAGACGCGTGGGTTCGAATCCCACTCTTGTCACTTCTTTTTTTCTTCTTTTTTTTTTCAAGCCTGCCATTCTTGCTTGGCATTAGATTAGGGCTTGGAATCTATTATGTGTGTTGGATATAACAAACACACCCCATGTATAGTTATATAGACCATCAATCAGACAGGCTAGAAGCGGGTCATGTCGAAGTCAGCCCCGAGTTGATGTCAAGGCTAAGAGGGATAGAATAATTTGATTGGTGCCCAGGAATGTGTTCTTCAGTTTAGGTCATGTCTATTTCACACTTTATGAAATCTTGAGTTGTAGACCGTCCCTAAACCATATGTATATATAGATAAGCGATTTAGAATCTTGAAACGGCGTTGCACTTAATCTAACTTATCAAGTCAGCCATTTTTTCTTAATGCGGGATTAGTCTACAGAATTATCCCCCGGACCCGTGTACAACGTTTCGGCCGTGACCCCGTTAACATGACTGACCCTAAATCTTATACAAAGAACGAAATGTGGGCCATTTGGATTGGCTCAACTCACTGTCATCCCCCGCTATGTGCTTAGCGTCTTGACCACGCTGGTGATCTCAGACAGTCATTATGATTCACCTGCATGTCACTCTCTTGGAATACTTCATCATGCATGAAGGTACTAGAATAGGCTATCGCAGTGGCTAATGTCGGTGGAATCAAATCCTTGGGGATTTGGCTCCGAGGAGAAGGTACTCTATAAACTATATAATTCGTTTCATCACGTACTTCACAAGAGAAGCTCTGTTGATAAAGCAAATCCACTTACCTCAACTCCATTGTTTCTCCCACTCCTTATCTTGCATTATTCTTCAACCCCACTTCCCTCGACCGAGAATTAGAAATAGCCCTCCCTAACCTACCCTTCTCGGGGATGTTCACACGCGAAAGCCTTCCAGCTGCACGACAATTTGCAGAGAACGCAAGCACCGTTGATTCGATATTAGTTATCTCTCCGTCCATCACCCACGAGGAAACGAACAATATGGGGCCTCGCGGGGACATTCCAATTTCTATCCTCCAATCATCCACTAGCAAAGACAACAGCAAAAGGCCATGCACCATCTACCTACACTCAGGAGGCATGATCAAGGGCAACCGTTTTCACGGGAGCGACTATTCCCGCCACATGGGTGCCCGATTTTGATGCAGTCTGTGCGCTAGTAGAGTACCGACTAGCACTGTAAAACCCCGCCCCGGCCGGAGTGGAAGACTGCTACGCAGCTCTGAAATGGACCAGCCTAAATGCAGACTTGCTGAGCATTGATCCCAGCCGCATAATCACCGTCGGTTCATCAGCAGGGCGGCGGTCTCACAGCCGGGACATCCCTCCTCGCACGAGACCGCGGTGGTCCTGGCGTTCACGCTCAGATGCTGCTCGCGCCCATGTTGGATGATCGTTACGGGACGGTGTCGGCGACGCAGTACGGTGACCAGCTACCATGGACGCGTGGGGTTGGCGAAATGGCTTGGGAGTGTACTCCTGGAAGAAAAGAAGTGAGAGATGAGAGTGTTGGCATCTACGCTGTACCTGGGCGTACTGAGGATCTGTCCAATTTGCCCCAAGCTTATATTGATGTTGGCTCGGCTGAGGTATTTGGGGATAAGAGCATTGCATATGCATCGGGTCTTCTCGCTTCTGGGTGCCTGTTTGGATTGCATGTTTGGCCTAGTGCTTTTCATGGATCGGATTTAGGGGTTCCTGAAGCTGCTATTTTGAAAGCTGGTGCTAAGGCGAGGGACGATTGGATCGCTCGTATGATGAAATAATAACTTGAATTGAGCGATAGATTCCATCAATACGTATTACTAGAGACGCTTGACAGTGAATATCTCACACCCTGGTGTTCTATCCTACCCGAGATCATAATTATGACCGGACCGAGCCAAAGTAACGGCTGGACTATGACACAAAGAACGAAGTACTAGCATCAGCTGTTTGCCTGGGTGACTTGCCGTATAGCCTAACAGTTGAAGCCTAGAATAGTTGGGAGTATAATGCAATGATTGGAGAAGAGAAGAGATGAATCGACCATTGTAGTACGTCGGTTAAGTACCGATTGAGTAGAGGAATAGAGTAGCGAGGGTCAGCAGTTTCGATAATAACAATAAGGTATCCGTCAAGATAGTAGTAAGCAGGAGAGAAGAAAAAAAAGAATTGACAAGAGTGGGATTCGAACCCACGCGTCTTGCGACATATGAAGTAACCCTAGTTGTTCTAGGACAAGCTGTAGCTTGAGTCATACACCTGATAGGACTGTTAGATGATTGGTTGCTTGATCATTGTAGGGAAGTGCAAATTTACCTTAACCACTCGGTCATCTTGCCATGTTGGTGATTGAGATTGGAAAACTAGGCTATTTATGTAAATATAAACGTATCAAGAACCACCTTTTAACGGCGTATAAGCTAGATTCAAAAAGACCCCTCGATGTGTTTCATAACTTGTATTGTAATAGACCGTAAGATCTTCTAATATAAAAGAAATACGAGTAACTCCATCCATCTTACATTGGAATCCAACCCAACGAATATCCACCATTTTCCACACAAGTCTCGTATATAAATCTTCCGATTCACCCACTCCAACCATGGCTCACACCTTCTACGACGGAACCATCCCGGTAGTCCAGGCCATCCTCAACTCCCTCTCCCACATCCTCCATCAAGCTGAGCAACACTCCAATGCCGACACTCTCCTCGCAGCCCGTCTCCATGAGGACATGTACCCACTAACCGACCAAGTCCGCATCGCGACCCAGTTCTCCGAGAACCTGGTCGCAAGACTGACCGGTCGAGAGCCGGTGATGTTCGATGGCAGTCCCACGACATTTGCCGAGTGCTACGAGCGCATTGAGACGGTGTTGAAAGCATTTAACGAGGCCGATAAGGACGTCGTCAATCAACATGCTGACGTTGTCGCGACGACGAAGATGGGCCCCGAAAAGGCGGTTGAGATGACTGCTGCGGCGTATGCTCATAGCGTTGCTTTGCCGAACATCTATTTCCATCTTACTACTGCGTATGGGATTCTAAGGAAGGAGGGCGTGCCGTTGGGTAAGCGGGATTATTATGTTGGGTTTTTCCCTCATATTGGGGGCCAGTAGAGGGGGATTCTTTGGGATTTGGGGGCGGGTTTTGTTCGTGGTCTTTGATTTTCTTATATTGGAGATTGTACTGTGAGATCTATTGATATTACACACAACCGAATAGACGGTTGGGTTTTCGTGACGTCTATGTTAGATATAGAAGAGTACTCATCTCCACCTATACTAGGCTTCTGATAGTATAGTAAATTGGATATTACATAGCCTGTGTTTGCTCAGTAGCTGAATACTCTCCCCTCCAGGACGCTAATCGTTAGTGGTAATATACTCGCCATCTTTCCAGCCCTTACACTTCTACTAAAGGGAGCCCAATTTCTAACTACCTACCATCCACCACGTAATCGATGATGGATCTTTTCAATAGATAGATCACAGGCCACATCGAGGCCCAAAAACAGTCATTTTCAGTATAAATTCTGCACACTTCATATGCAGAGTGACACGAGAATGAGTCATTTTAACTAGATTCAATTCCCGATTCAGAATCGTGCCCTAACGAGGAGAACGTTAGAGAACGGTTGGTACAGTACATAGATCACTTCTGGAAGTAATTATCTCACATATCTTATCACCCTTTGAAAAATATGAGATCAAAGTAGAAAGATAAATTGGGGTTGATAAATAATAGTAAAAGTATCAGTATCGTTATGTCTGCACATGGGTTAGCAATATAACCCTACCTTGCCCTACCTACCCTACAGTACCCTTCACATAAATCCCAGCCAACTCACCTACTCACTAATGCACCCCCTCCAAGCAAAATAAAACAGCACAGAAAACACATACATTAGTAACAAGATGAACGAATGACGTAAATCCTGCAATAAGTTCTAACCATGGTACATGTGACGCCTCCCCCGCACCTTAACAGAAGCTCCCCAAAAGTACCGCTACAACGTCCTCATCCCCAAGAACTCCCAAGTACACCCCCTAACAACCAGCTACATTATCTCAAAATGTCCAACTCATTAGATCTAGCCATCTGCTCGACCTGTGGAACGCAGTATCCCACAACATGCGAATCATCGTGTAAGATATGCGACGATCCAAGACAGTTCATTCCTGCGACTGGGTAAATTCTATATCCCCTTCCTTTCCCTTCCCTTTCCTCTATCTACAACTACAACTTCGATTCAAGTATATCCTAAAGGGAAAAGAGAGAGGGGCACCTGTAGTATCGATACATATTTATTATATTTCTAGAAGAGGAAACCAAGTACTAACTATAATATATTAACCCTCCGGCCAAAGACAATCCTGGACAACACTCCGCACTCTCCAAAACACCAAAACATATCATAACGAATTCACCCCAGATTCAATCCACAAGGATTTAATCTCCATTCACACCGTCCCGAGAGTGGCCATCGGCCAACGTGCCTTACTATGTCGTACGCCTACCGGTAATCTCCTCTGGGATTGCATCACTTACATCGATGATGAGACCGTCTCCAAGATCAACGAGCTAGGCGGTCTGAAAGGAATTGTTATCTCGCATCCACACTTCTACACCACGCACCTTCACTGGGCGGAGATCTTTGACTGTCCTGTTTATTTGGCGCGGGAGGATAGAGAGTGGGTGGTGCGCACGGGGAAGAGGCAGGTTCTTTGGGATTCGTCACGGTTGCCGGTTCCTGGGGTGGATGCTGATTTGGTGGCTGTGAAGACTGGGGGGCATTTTCCTGGGAGTTCGGTGCTGTGGTGGAGGTCGTTGAGGGTGTTGTTGGTTGCTGATTCGATTGGGGTGGTGCCGAGTGGGATTTATCATGTTGGCAGGTTGCCTGGGACTGTGTCCTTTACTTTTATGTGGTCTTATCCTAATATGGTTTGTCTTTTCTTTTCTTTTATGTTGCTTGTTGTTGTTGGCTGACTGGGAAACATAGATACCTCTGCCTCCAGATGAAGTGCATAATATCTGGAAGGCCGTCGAGGATTTGGATTTTGACGATATCCGTGGTGGCTTCATGGGAACGGAGGTAAATGGCAATTGTAGGCAGCGTGTGCTAGAGAGTGCTAAGATATTCGTCAAGTCTATGGGTCATCTCGAACATACAATTCATGAGGAACAGTGTCTTTGAAACGAGCGCTATGGATATAAAAAACAGCATGTACAGACTAGTAGAATGAACAAACTCCCATGTCCGTCTCCAGCGATTCAGTCACTGGGTTAACAATAAAAGACTGCTTAGCCAAAACATCAACTCAGATACTTCAAGCAACGCTAAGAATAATCCAATATCAAAGGTCTGAAAACGGCCGCACGGAAGTCACACTCCGACTTCTTGTACAGTGTGGCGTCATAGACAAATTACCATACGACCCTTCACTGATAGAAAATCTTGCAGGATAACCCTCCGTTGGCCGAGCTGACCTTGACCCCTCTTCCAATATCAAGATTGCACACGAGTCGTTCATTAGAGGCAACTCAACAGAGTCAACAGACCGCGGCCGACTAGCAGGGCCCAAGCGCTGTCTCTCAGCCCTGAGCGCAGCGTACTCTGGGTTCAAAGTAGATACACTTGTCTGGTTCACACTAGGAGAATCGATATGAGAGACAGATAAACTTCTCTGTTCTTCATCTTCGTTGGCGCAGAGTAACCGTTGTGCACTGCTGCTTTCGCTTGCTGCATGTGCTGACTCTGGGAGTTGATGGCTGGGAAAAAAAGCTTCCACGCCGCGGCTTGACCCGCAGTGCCACTGACGAAATCCAGTTGGTACACAAGGTGAGGCATGGATAAGAGGGCTCTGCACGTCAGACGATGTCCGGCTTTCATCTGCAGGGCCATCGACTGATGGAAAATGTGCTATCTCAATTGCATCCGGGATTGTGGGTGAGCGGAAGACACCCTCGGGCATGACAGATAAGAAAATATTGATGATAAGTTGCTCTCTGAGAACAATAGCTCGAACGACTGGGCTTTTCAGTGGTCGTTTCCGGCTTTTGTCAAGGCGAAATAGGAATGCTACAGCGTGGAGAAGCTTCAGGGTTATGAGGGCTCCCAGAAGAGAGAGGACTTCACCGGTGCTGATGATGATGGGGTTGTTGGGGGGAAGTGTAGACTCTTCGTCGATGTGGGTTGCCATGGGAGCTGATGGGGAAGACATTGCTGGAAATGAGTGTGTATATCAGAAAGGATGTCAAAGAGGCTGATGGTTATTATCAAGGAAACAAAAGGTGGGTTTGGAAATTGAGAACGGTTCTGAATATGAGGAATTGGCTGTCACGTAAAAAGGAAAGAGCAACTGGACACAACAATCCTATGACAGTCACTTCGCTAGTAACATCAGGCTCTACTATTTTTTCTTTGGCTTAACCCAACTCATTCATGGTTCCTGGTGAGTATAAATAGCGTCCTCATTCTGGAAGCCAAGCATTATTCTATCAATGAAACCAACTGTAGCTTTTTCTATAACCGAATTGCCAAGCGAGCGCGGGAGAGATGAAGGCTCTGATACATAAAGACTTAGTCCGTTCCTACTGCCAAACAAGATAAGCAGATATATCGAATCCTCAATCAGCAAGCTACATCCTCCGAAGCGACGAGCATCCAATCCTCCCCGGGCCCTTCCTGAGTCAGAGCGTCAGTCGATGTCCACTGCACATGATTGCCTTGTTTCGAAAACGATGTAGAGCCAATGAACCCCCCTTTCCTCAGTTCATAGAAGTGGAACTTAAAAGAAGTCGCCACGTTGCCGGCTAAGACGCACGTCAAATGGTGGTTTTCAAAGGAAAGGATCACAAACCGGCGTGCGTTGCCCGGTTCTATCAACATGAGCTGGACAACATCTCCACCGACTAGGACCAGAGGTTCACTGGTCTCAGGGCAAATTTGAATGCGGAATTTTGAACGGTTCGTTGTTGAAACATTCACCTTGGCTTTATTGGGAGGCACGAACCACCACTCTGGTGCATTTCGGTTGCGGATGTAGTAGCATCGATTGTTGATGTTGCCAGAAGCATTGTCGTCTGAAGCATTGGTAGGGTTGAAAGTTATCTGGCTGGTAAGCGGGCTGATGAAGAGTTTGCCTTTCAGGTAATTTTGAGCTGCCTCGGGGATTTCTTCGTTCGTGCCCTGGTCGATGTCGGTGACGAGATTGGTCAGTAACGAGATGGTATTCTCGTGGGTTGGGTCGATGGACCATAATGTGGGTGAGTAGTAAGTTGTTCTGATTGGAATGTATCCCAAGACCTTCATGGGAGTGTACTGTTGCAGTTGTCGGTAGAAATAGTCGGCAGTTTCCCGGTTAACTGTGGTGAGGACATGAATGCTAGCGCCCTTCGCTGCTATATGGACATAGTATGGCATCTTGGCCCTCAGGCGTGGTGAGAGGAAAGACAAGTAGTGATGAATAGTGAGCTGTATCTGGTAACGGGCTGTCTTATAGAAATAGATGGTGAGCACTATGAAAGTGTGATACAATTCATTGAATGGATGATAGGCGGAATTCGACTTATAAGAAGTTCTCCGTATCGTTCACAGTCGTTCTTTCCTTCTCATACATCCTCACCGAGAGCAAACTAGGAAGGACGTCTGTATTATCCTGAGGGGGAAGCATCGTTTGCTCTCTAGAACGCATAGATTGGCTCATGCCATGGTCAACCCGGAATACGCCAGCATGTGTTCATAAGGGAAGAAAGGCAAATGGAGGGAAAGCGTCAAAATTAATGTTGCTATGGCCTGGTGTTCACACCATTGATTATGAATGTGCATGTTGTGATCCTGAACTCTAGACTGTATCAACAAGAACATGATCGAGTGCTTTTGATTCGAATTATGCATGGTAAGAAGCATCATCACCAATAGCCAACAAGATATGTGGAAGAGAAGGGAATCGCTATTGGACATCGCAGGTAAATGGTATTGTAAGGAGAAAGAAAACCAAAATTTACAGCCTCATCCACCCCTTGTCCGATAATAAACATGTTGTAAATCAAGTCATCGTGCGTATGCAAGGACGCTAGGCATAACATACGTAGAATCATAAAGAATAGAAATGTGCGAACGGCAGAAGTCATAATGTCGTAAGGAAGTATTGGCATCTACTCGTCAAGCGAGACTAATAGAGAGATTCCTCGTCGACCTGATCAGGGCTTGCTCGATATTGGCTCCGCTTCCTTCGGCTAGGACTGCTATATTGACTGCCCGAATTCAGCGGACGAGGCCCGGTAGGTTTACGGGGAGGCGGTGTGCTGCGCGGAGAAGAGCGTAATGCAGAATTCTAATCATTCCGTCAGCTTCCCTTCAATACTATAACACCCTCGACGAAAGTAGACTTACCCGCGAAGCAACGCGATCCACATACGATCGCTCATCATCCTCCTTGACCTTTGGCGGCCGCTCAGGAACCAATGGACCATCATCCTTGATCTTTGGGGGCCTCGGTGGACCAGTATGTCGAGAGCTGGCCTCCGAGTAGCCCGCATCCGAGATCGGGGAGAGACGACTGGCGCCGCTGCTGTGTCGCGGATTGGGGTTCCCAGCTGACAAGCTCGGATTCGAATTCCACTGGTCCGAGGGGGCACCAGGCGGCATCCCGTAGATCTGAGCTTGTGTTTCTAGCTGAGACTGGTATCGGCCAGTAGGCCCCTGGCGAGGCTGAGGATGTTGAAGATCCAGACTCTCTCGGTGAGCTCTGTATTTCGGAGCTTCCGAAACCTGGGAAGGAACCAAAGGCGATGGCGGCCGGTTCTCTTGCTGCTGGTCATCTAAGGTGTAGGTCGACCGCAGCCTGTCATCGCCTTGTGGATCATACCAATCAGGGGCCTTGTATGGGCCCTGGATATCGGACCCTGAACGCGAAGCATCGAAAGACGGGCGCTCTTTGCGGCCTGGCTGGATGCTATTGCGGATATTGTCTCCCATGGAAGATGCCGTGGTTTTGGACCAACGGGAAATCTTGGGGAAGAACGAGGAGCTGCTTGACTTGTGCTTCTTGGACTTCTCATTTGTCTTCGGGGACGTTTCATTACTGAGAGCGCCAGAGGCCATGGGCGCCCGAGGTGGCGTGGAGGCCGAGGAGGGTCCAGCCCTGTCCTGTTGGCCGTTTGTGTTGTTGAATGATGCCGGGTTCGGGCTCAGGAACTCTCCACGCTCATTGATTTCCATCTCCTCATCGGCTTCTGGAACAGTGCTGACACGATGTTCAGAATCCCTCCGCAGGCCATTACCACGAGATTCTGGCATTGGCCGAGAAGAAGTCGATAGCAAGTACCCGGAATGGTCGGGGGAAGAAGTTCCAGCATGTCCTTCAGGCTCGTAGCCTTCTGGATCTACACTGGCAGACCGGGGTCCACTGCGGCCCAGCCTCTCGTCTTGACCATCACGGAGTGCTTCAACCTCATCGAGCAGTTGCTCCAGCATGTCCTCGATTCTTGATAGGTCGTTGGAAGACTTGAGACTGAGTCCTTTAAGTGCACGTTTGAAAACGTTCTTACGCTTGGAACGTAGGTCTTCGTCGTCTGCAGAAGACTGGCGGGCGCTTCTGGTGCTGGCCGGCAGTGGGCGAGGTCCTCCGAGAGCTCGATACGTTCGGTCATGCTGCTTGTCACTTGCTTCCATGAGCATCCCGTCCTGCTGAGCAATAAACTTCTTCATTTCCTCGAACGAGTTGCGCATTTCCGCTGCGCTCCTAACAAGGGTAACGAGAATCTCCGTATCGCGGGCGTTTCGTTGGGCGTCGCGCACGGTGAGCTGTGTACAAGTCAGAATCAGTTCGCAAAATTTAATTTTTGTCCCGAATTACTTACATGGTCCATGAGTGCGACAATATCTTTGGACTGAATACGGTCAATGCCCCTTCCAGTTGCACTGTCGTACAGAGGCGAGCCGACACCCTGAGAGTAGCCACTGAGTTGCCGCTGGTGACCAGACATGAACTGATCATCAGCTCCAGTAGGGCTATCGAAGAGGCCCATGCCATTGGTGTCCATACCACCGAATCCTTTGTCCAAAGGTTCCGGGGTATCGATACCCGGTGAGAGAGGGTTTGGGGCGGACACATAGCCCTCATCTTTGCCTGGCGGCGTGCCAAACAACGGACCTCTTGAGTACTGATGATCAAGATAGTCACCCGGGTTGTAGTCATTTGTTTCATAGTAGTCATGACCGTAATCAGGTTGGTCACCTAACCCCGGGCCTGTATTACCAACAGAGCCAGCATTGTCAAACATAGGCGACTGGCCACGGTTATCTGGCGTCTGCTCATATGCCCAGTCACCTCCATGCATGCCTCCTCCGATTGGGCCTTGGATAATAGATGGATTCGTATTGATTTCCGATTCAGAATCCGGACTTCGGTCGGCTTCTGGACTGGGGCTCTCACGGTCATGGATGTCTTCAGAAAACATGTGTGTCGGGTCGGTCTGGTCCTCTAGTGACTGTGTAACACTCTGGGGAGGCGACGTGGCTCCCATTCGTCGGGGGAAGGAGGCCGCATCTGGACTGGAGGCGTCTTGGCGTTGTTTTAGAGGGCTTCCTTGGCGGGATCCGTGAGGAGTCTGGTTTGCCCTTTCCACTGGCTTGGGACTTTGGCCTTCCAAACGCCGGGAGAGATCAGTCTGTGAGCGATTGGCTGCAGACTGGTTGGACTTCGTGTCCATAATGGACGGATCAAGAAGAGAGGCTACCGCGGATTCGACTGCGATGGGCTGGATAACCTGAGGGTTGGCACCGATGCCTGCAACGGGCTGACGTTGGTTTACTTTTTCCATGTAGCTCACCTCACTCTCGTCCATAAAGCCGGTCATCCTTTTGGGGTCAGTACTTGCGGTCTCCGTCATCGATCGTGGTGACATGGCGGGGGATTCTTCATACCCAAGTTCAGCCCCATACTTGTTGTTATGTCGTAGGATTTCTTTCTGGCCTGCAAGGCTAATACCGTGAGGCCGTGAAGACCTTGCAAGGTTGGTGCTTGGGGCAGATGAAAGCGAATCAATGGAGAGGCGTTGTTCCATCTCTTTCTCAGTCCCGGAAAATCCATGCTCAACCGGCTGGATTGAATCCTGTTTGATGTGGGACTCGCTCTGGTTGCTAGCTACACTCTGGATTGGGCTGAGGGTGCGTCGACGGTCAGTGGGCCTAGAGCCGTGATGCCCGGAATGTTCATCCAAGAGATTGGCCGCTGCGGCAGCCGCAATAGCTCCTGCGGCAGCGTCCCCTACAGGTGAAAGGCTCTGTTCGCGATAATCTTCTTCAGGATAATCATGAAGCGACAGGTCGTGGCTAGAGAAATTGCTGTGTTTAAGGTCATATCGCGAATCCAACAAATCCCGATGCGGGCTACGGACGTCGTGGATTTCCGAGGTTTCACGGGAACCATAGGGCTCTGCGGTCTGTTCGGAAAGAAGCGAGTCTCTGGTCATGTCCGACTCAATCGCGCTGCGCAGGGGCATGGGTGCCACGTTGTGTTTCTGGAAGACCAACTCGGTATCGTTGAAACTGCCCTTGCGACTCCCCGGGCCACTCGGCCTCCGTCGTTCGGTTTTGTCGATGCTGGAACGAGAATCATGGTGCTTAAGAGCGGCTGCGGTCAGAGCTGACCCAACCCTGGCGGCCTTTTCGGCATCCCGCAGCCCCTTGCTTTTTTGCCGACGTAGCTTCTCGTGTTCTGTTAGTTCTGGCCGAAGGCCCCATTTGACGTAGCTGTTTTCGGATGGTGCCTCGCTGCCTTTGCTGGGCCTGCGCTCATGTTGCGAGGGAGCTGGCTCGCCGGAAAGGACTATACCCTCGTCCTGGCCATCCTTATTCAGAACGACGGTAGGCCGCGTCACGTCGGGAGCGCTGGCATGCTTTGAGAGGCGTCTTCCGAGCTCGTCTCGCGATGGGGTGCTCCCGGACGAGTGGGATGTATTCATGTCCCGTTCGAATTTGGATGTATTGGTCATCACCTTTTGGTCCTTCTTGAGCTCTTTTAGCTCGGGCAAGATCAACCGACGGATGGCATCTTCAACGGTCTCGAGGAGCTTTGGGTTGTTGATCGATGACTTGGAGGTGCCAGACCGGAAGGAATATTGATCGCCAGATTTACGATGGGCGGACAACGCCGACGCGCTGAGCAAGCTCGGATTTGGACTCATGTCTTCGTCTGGGTATGCCGATAAGCGAGATCGAGACTTGGACTCTGGTTCGTGGAAGTCGGCAGTGTCTCCCTTATTCAGTTGGCCTTTAGAAGTCTCACGAGGGTCGTTACTCAGCTTCTCCGCCACTCGATGAGCGATGCGTTCCGTACTCAGGCTGCGGCTTCTTTGTCGCCTGGGTGTCTGGAGATAGTCTTTGTATTCCGGACTGTGCTCACGTTCTCGCGATGA